TATGAAATATTAATAATAAATAAATAAAATTTGAAGAGAACATAAGACATAGCTGTCTTATTCACTATTATAGGGTAGATCTTCAGTGTATAATTTTTATTAATTTTGTTGGATGTTTCATAAGTGTTATAACTATTAGTATATTTATTTTTTTCTTTTTTTTTTTTGAGACAGGATCTCTATGTAGCCATGACTGTCCTGGAACTCACTATGTATACCAGGCTAGCCTGGAACTCACAGAGATCTACCTGCCTCTGTCTCCCAAGGCATGCACCTCCATACCTGACAGTATATTTATTCTCAGTAAGTAAATTCCGTAAGCATTAAGAATTCTACTCTGCCAGGCAGTGGTGGTTCACACCTTTAATCCCGGCACTCAGGAGGCAGAGGCAGGTGGATCTTTTGAGTTTGAGGCCAACCTCGTCTACAGAGCAAGTTCCAGGACAGCCAGGGCTACACAAAGAAACCCTGTCTCAAAAAAAAAAAAAAGTTCTACTCATTAGAACTTTCCTCTTCCTACCTTCTTCAATTGTTCTTGTCCATCATTAATTGACATACATCTATATAAAAATTTGTGATTTTGTTTTTTTGAAACAAGGCTCACATAGCTCAGGCTGGCCTTGATATTGCTGTAGAGCCAAAAATAACCTTGAACACCTGGTCTTCCTGCCTCTCACCCAAGGGCTGGGATTGCATGTTCCACCACAACCAGTTATATTTAAAACTTACATGTCCTGTGTATCTGATCAACTTGATATAGTCATAAATCTCATATTCTGATACTTATAAAGAAGTCCAAGCTGAACAAGAAAGACACCAATAGACATGCTAACGTGGATGGGGAGCTCTGGAGGCCTCAGCCCACACAGAACTACGGGCACTGAGAAATGCTGAGAGCAGAGAAGTAGTCTCCCCAGAGAAGAGCACACCAGTTGGTTATCCAGCCCCAAAACGTATACATAGAAGTAGCATTATACATGCTGGGCTGTTGGGAGAACCTGGCGGCCAGGTCCAGCTTTGATGTGTTGAATAGGCACCTCAGCGTTTGCCCTGGGTTGGAAATTTAACATCCCAGCCTTTTGTTGATAATAAATGAATGGATAAGGGGCAACATAATCATCTATGACTACTTCCTGCTGACATTGGGCATTGTAGGGAGACCTAAAAAGCTGGAATGTTGGCCAACTCCGGGAAGAGCCCACTGTTTCACTTGCTGTCCAGGCTCTCAGGACAATCTGGGGCTAGGGGTGTACAGACAGCAGTTGGAGCAGTTTGCAGCCTTTAATTGATTGGAAGTCTGCTGAAACAGATATATTAGGGACAGAAGGTAAAATTAAGGATTTCAGGGGAAATTTTTCCTTAGTTGTACATTTGATACTTTAAGGCCCATGGTCCTGGTAGTTGGGGGAGGAGAAGTCCCAAGGCCAGGGGAAAGGGAAGAGTTCCCACCCTCAGGAATAGGCTGTGGGGAAACAGGCTGTTGATTGACAGTACTTATCTGCAGTCCATTTGACCTGTGAGAGGTGGATCCAAGTCGATTACTTGAAGCTTACAAGGATTTTTTTTTTCAGTTGATAAAAAGAGGTAAAGAAGCCAGGCGGTGGTGGCGCACGCCTTTAATCCCAGCACTTGGGAGGCAGAGGCAGGCGGATCTCTGTGAGTTCGAGGCCAGCCTGGGCTACCAAGTGAGTTCCAGGAAAGGTGCAAAGCTACACAGAGAAACCCTGTCTCGGGAAAAAAAAAAGGAGGTAAAGGTTTTAGGTGGTAATGTTAGCATTACCACTGTTTGTAATCTGTACTGAAATCCACATTTTAGAAAGGGCAGTAGACTCATGCCTTTAAGTTATAGTCTTTCAAAGCTTGGGAACCTAAAAATGATTCTGGGTTAAAAGCATGAACACTCTTTCCTGGGTCCAGAAGACTGGGTGTGTATAGATTAGACAAATGTTTTTAGCGCAGTGAGAAGCACTTTTAAGTCTATACTTAGAAGGCAACTAAAGGGAATTTAAAATCTTGAGCTTGTTACTATGATAGTAATCATGCTTTATCAGACTAGATTAATAGCTTATCAGAACTCGGTTGACTAATGTTAAGACTCAGAACTTTTGAAGCCTTGATACATCAGTAGCATAGTGAGAAAGAAATCAGAAGCATTTTTCATTTTTATAATACCTTAAATCACCTTTTTATCTCCACTTAAGCTTTCACATCCTCAGACCTTTACAACCCGCATTTATATACCTTAATAGCTTAATTTACACACCTTAAGTCACTCTCTTATCACAATTTAAACTTTCACATTCTCAGACCTTTATAACTTGCATTTATACACCTTAAAACACCTTAGACCCTAAAACATGTTCTTAGAGCCTTAAAAACTTAAGCTTTCATATCTTCACATAAATTTTACACCTTAAAACACGTATTTTTGCCAGGCAGTGGTGGCACACGCCTTTAATCCCAGCACTTGGGAGGCAGAGCCAGGTGGATCTCTGTGAGTTTGAGGCCAGCCTGGTCTACAGAGCAAGATCCAGGACAGGCACCAAAACTACACAGAGAAATCCTGTCTCAGAAAAACAAAACAAAACAAAAAAAAAAAAAACACCTATTTTCTATCTACTCATTCACCAGGAAACACAAGTGGTTGATTATTGAGGGCAATCATTGCAAAGGAGTTCCTTTAAATAAAGGAATAGTAAAGAAGTTACATTGAAATCTATTTTGTGAATTTATCTCTTTTTTTGGAGTCTGGCAACAAGGTAAATTGTGTCAAGACCTAGTAGTAGCTCTAGGAAAATGAGGCCTATGTCCTGAGTTTTACACATGAAGAGAACAGTGAAGGCAGCTGAAGCCTTGGAAAAGGAGCTGGGTGCTTGCTGCTGTTAAAGCTACAGTCAGTTAGTATCCTCAGAGATCTGAGGATAGATTATTACTGTACATATAATCTAAATGGTCTATGTATCAATTAAAATGACAGAGACCCATTACCTAGATGGGTTATCCTAGGCTTCAGTGGCCTCCATAATTTCATTGTGGGCAATTGTAGGTCTTTGGCTGGCATACATAGTAGGTTAGGCCTTTGGCTGCCAGACTCAAGTCTGAGATTTTTCTGTAAGGGAAAAACTTGGGAGACTGACCTTACTTTGATGAGGCAAAGTAGAGCAATTAACCCAAAAAAATGTCCACAGTTTGAGCAGAGCCCTGAAAGCAAGCTAGGCCTGGGGCAGTTTTGCCCAGCGGTTAGCATTACCACAATCCAGGTGGAGTTGTCATGCCCCATCTGTCTTTGGGTACCTTTAGGGTTTCTGCTAGGAGGGGGCAGTCCTTTCTATTCTGGGAAGCTTAAACATTTTAAATGCCATATTCTGCAGATCTGAATAGACAAACTGGGTGCCAGCAAAGAGATAAGAATGAAAACCTGGTGCAGATGAACTTCATCAACCTGGATCAATCTAATAACAGGCAGTTTATTCCCATATGTTTAAGCCCAGTACAATTTTTCTGATGTAATACAATCCCCAATGCACAAGGCATAATTACATTGAAATCAACTCAGGGTACCTATCATTTCCTCCAAGAAGATGGGTTCTGGAGATAGGCTACTTATACTAGCTTAAGGCCTAAGGGTCTGGCTTGGTCTCAGTCATACAGATAATGTAGAGGTCATGTGGCTTTTAGCTACCTCTGGTCCTGGTTGTGGGAATATGTATATATGTATGTATGTATGTAACAACAATTAAAAAAAGTCATTGATTTGAAAGAGAGCAAGGAGGGGTGTATTGAAGGGAGGGAAAGGAAGGGTTAAATTATATAATTATAATCTGAAAAAAAGATTTTTTTAAAAGTCTGCTATAAACCAACCTAAACTTTTTCTTTTTTTGGTTTTTTGAGACAGGGTTTCTCTGTAGCTTTGGAGCTTGTCCTGGACTAGCTCTGTAGACCAGGCTGGCCTCGAACTCACAGAGATCCGCCTGCCTCTGCCTCCCGAGTGCTGGGATTATAGGCGTGCGCCACCACTGCCCGGCAACTTTTTCTTAACTGTAATTTCAGCTATAGTGTATTTGTTTTTTCCATCTTATAGCAGAATATTTGTGACATAGAAAAGAAGTCTTGGATACATTTTCCTTTAAACAGCCAGCTTTGGTAAAAGTGGACATATCTTGGCTTCCAGGATTCACAAAGCTTTAATAATCGTGAGATGTATGGCTGTAGGCAGTGGTGCATTGCTGGCAAATGTGCTGGCCCATAAGAACCAACTGCACACATCCCTTCCGATTCTGAGCTCAGTGATGTGTCTGGTAGCTTTAGCTCATCCATAGTGGGTAGTTCTGTAAGGAAGTCAACAAATACTGCAAGCTAGTACTTCCCATTATGCAAGAAGTACTTCCCATCCCTAGAGGCTGCTACTGTGTTTGGAGTAGTAGTAGTGTGTTTGTGGCACACTGCTGAGTTTGAGCAGGTTTAAGAGATTCACTGCAAGGCTTCCAGAATGCTTGTTGAGTCTGCAGTCTGCTCAGCTTCTCTGTGCAGCAGGACAGCTGTCTTGTGACATCTTCCACATTCTACATACAATTCCATTCTCTGACATAGAGACTCACTTTCTCCATTGTGGTCTGTGAAATAGCAGAGATTTCCGCTCGGATACCCACCTGTAGGTGTTGATTGAAGGGCAACAATAAGGGTTCGGAATGGAGTGGTGGAGGAGTTAGGGTCAAATGTCAGGTAAGAATCTATACACTCAGTGTGTGACTAGAAATCAGACTGCAGGGAAAGGAAAGGAGGATGTTGCAAAGGAGACGCTTCTGGGGTGATAGCATATACATATGCTAAATGTAAAAAGTGCAGCAAAATCAAAATGCCAAGTAGTTCCAAAAGTAACATTAGGTATGGCAGATTATCTATCTTAAGTATATTTGAAAATTCATAAGTTTTTATAATGTTTTAAGTAGAATACCTTCAGTGAGTTTATTAAAGTGGTTTATTCAAATGCTTTTGTGTAGGGTTTGAACTACAGTTCCGATTAGGCCCAACTTTACAAGGGAAAGCTGTTACTGTGTATACAAATTACCCATTTCCTGGAGAAGCATTTAATCGAGAAAAATTCCGTTCCTTGGATTGGGAAAACCCAACAGAAAGAGAAGATGATTCTGATAAATACTGTAAGCTTCATCTGCAGCAGTCTGGATCTTTTCAGTACTACTTCCTTCAAGGGTAAGCCAGGAGTTAATGTATTCTATAACTTAAGTTATCTGACTGTAAATGTTACCGTGTGAACCATGGTGATGCAGTTTTTACAGAGTTTTTGTGTGTTTGTTTGGCTTTTTGTTTTTTCAAGACAGGGTTTTTCTATATTGCCTGGGCTGTCCTGGAACTTCCTGGCTGGCCTCGAACTCAGAGACCTGCCTGACTACCTCCCGAGTGCTGGGATTAAAAGCATGAGCCACTTGCCTAACTATGGTGCTTTCTTGAGATGTGAGGAGGTCACTGTCTAGCCTGTTGTACATTCAAGTTGTATGTAGTTAAACTCCAAGCTTTTCCTGTCATCAGTTTAGAAGACTCTACTTATTTGAATGATATTGTTATTGATAGATATTAGTATTTATTTTCTAATAAATCAACCATACTGGATGTCATATTTTATTCTATGGAGATCTGTAGTAGTTGAGAAAGGATAGGAAATACCTGTTCTGGGGCTGGAAAGATGGCTTAGTGGTTAAGAGCTTGCACTGCTCTCACTGAGAACCCAAGTTTTGTTTCCAACCTTCACATCAAGTGGCCCACAGCCTCCTGTAATTCCAGCTTCAGGAGATTCATCACCCTCTTCTCCGATAGGCATCTTCACTCAAGTGCACATAGCCACACACTGACAGACACGAACACATAATAAAAAAGGAAAGAAAATACCTGTTACATGTTTTATTACAACCTTGTAAATGACTATTTATTTATTTATTTTGTTTTTTTTTGAGACAGGGTTTTTTTATGTAGCTTTGGAGCCTTTCCTGGAACTCATTCTGTAGCCCAGGCTGGCCTTGAACTTAGAGATCCACCTGGCTCTGCCTCCCAAGTGCTGGGATTAAAGGTGTGTGCCACCACTACCCGGCTGTAAATGACTTTTTAAAAATGATTTATTTATTTTTATTTTATGTGCATTGATGTTTTGCTTACATGCATGTCTGTATGAGGGTATATGGTACACCAGAACTGGAATAACAGGCAGCTATGAGCTGCTATATCAGTGCTAGGAATTGAACCTGGGGCCTCTGAAAGAGCAGCCAGTGCTCTTAACCTCTAAGCCATCTCTCCAGCCCCAGCCAATGCTCTTAACCCCTGAGCCATCTCTCCAATCCCTGTAAATGACTTTTATATACTTATAAATAAACATTTTAGCCATGTGTGGTGGCACAGCCCTATAATCCCATCACTGCGTATATGGAGGCAGGATGATCTGAAGTTCAGGGTCTTCCTCCACTATATAGTAAATTTGAGGCAGCCTGGGCTACATGAAACCCTGGATGAATGGGAGGGAGGAATAGAGGGAGGGGTTTAAGGGCAATTAACCTTCCAGATAGAATCAAACTGAATTATTGCTTTTCCCCTCTAACTAACTAAAAATGTTTTGTTTATTTTCCCTTAGAAGTGAGAAAAGTGGAGGAGGTTACATAGTTGTGGATCCTGTTTTACGTGTTGGAGCTGATAACCACGTGTTACCCCTGGACTGTGTTACTCTCCAGACATATTTAGCAAAGTGTTTAGGACCCTTTGATGAGTGGGAAAGCCGACTAAAGGTTGCAAAGGAATCAGGTAGTGTTCAGTTTGCTTTCTTTTTCTTTTCTTCATTTTAAAACTAAACAGAGTCGCTATGATACAGGTCTCACAGGCTTTCCTTCTCCTTTTAATATTGATTACTAATGTAGTGAGAAAAATAAAATCCACAGCTTCTACAGATACCAGGTTCTGTGGATCAGGTTAACAAAGAAAGGCACTTGGTCATAAAGTAAAATGATTATCATTTATAAGATTTTATTTGGCACATGAAAGTTAGTAAAGTTATTAAAATATGAAGGAAAATGTATCATCATATATGATTTTAATTAGCCAATATTGATTATCCCTTTTCTATATAAAAGGCATATGCTGCTGGACATGCCAAGAATAAAATGAAACTCAGTTGTATTTTCCTCTTAAGTAAGGTAGACTAGCATCAACATTCTAGTGTCATGCTAAATATACTACAGAGAAGGGAATGAAAGTTTCAGTGGCATAACTCTGGTGAATGCAAGTCCCATGGAACATTTAAAGTATTACACTTGTGTACGACATTTTGTGCATGCCGCTCTGTCCTGTCAGCAATTACAGTTGAACCTAATAAGAGCTAAGCACTGTGGTGATGGTTACCAAATAGCTCATGTCATTACCCACTTCTCATAGATGAGGACAGTGATAGCCTGAAAGCCGTAAGTGGATTTGCTGACAGTCTGTTGTGGTAGAGCTAGGACTTGAACCCTAGCCATTGGTTCCTTTTCTACTGGCATGTCTGTCTTACTGTTGATGAGAAAGCTCACATTTATACCTTGCTTAGCTTCAGGGTGATCTGTTTGCCTTTTCATGTGATGGTCTGTGTTTTCTTACTTGTAGGTTACAACATGATTCACTTCACCCCACTGCAGACTCTTGGACTGTCTAGGTCATGCTACTCCCTTGCTGACCAGCTAGAATTAAATCCTGACTTTTCAAGACCTAATAAAAGATATTCCTGGAATGATGTTGGGCAGCTAGTAGACAAACTGAAAAAGGAGTGGAATATTCTTTGTATTACGGATGTTGTCTACAATCATACTGGTATGCGCTTCAGTGATTTCAGTGTGAATATTAAATTCTTACTGTTTTGTTTATTAATATTTTCATTTGATTTTAAATTGTTGTTGTTAGTAGTATTTTGCAGTGTGAGGAATTGAACACTGGACCTCATAAATGCTAAAGAAAGCAAGCTGTCTGCCACTTAGGCATGTGGCCCTTATATAACATTCATTCTAAAGATTAAAAAAAAAAAACAATTAAGAGGCCTTTGATTTTAAAATGGTTTTATAGAATAATGCCAGTGTTAGGTGAGCATATAGTCAACATAAAAGTACTTTGCATGTGATGCTTATAGAAATAGGAGAGTGAGCATAAGAGGGACCTAGACATTTGTTTCCACCTGAATATAAGTACTTTTCCGACTGACAAGGGGATTCTGTACAGCAGGAGCCCTTGTTCTGTACCACACATTTAAAAATATAACGCTGAGCATGGTGGGTATGCCAGCAATCCCAGCACTTGGGAGGCAGAGGTCGGGGAGTCACTGTGAGTTCAAGACCAGCCTGGGCTACACATTGAGTTGCAGACCAACCAGAAGGGCTATATTATGAGACTCTGTCCCCAACAACAGCACTCATTATTGAAGAGAAAATTATTGATAAATCCTCAAAGTCAAATCCTTTATGTGATAAAAGAGTGTAGTTCGACATCTAAAGTACTAAAAAGAGTAAAGCTAGACTGTTTGGGTTCCCCATAGATGTGTTGTTTTCCTGACAGCCGTCCTTACAGAGGTATTTGTTCCTCTTACCTGTCCAAGCAGCTTGCCTGGCCTCATGGGGCCTGTGGCCCTGGCCTTCTGCTTTAACCCTGTGTGCCTTACAAGGATCCACTGTGTGTACCACAGTGTGGACAGTCTGGAAACCACTGCTTTACATATGTCAGCAGTGGAAATTCTGGATGGAGCAGTTTTGAGGTGTAGCTGTTTCATAAAGTCTTTCCTAAGTAGCCATAGGAATTATGAAGATACTTAAAAGCATATATATATATATACACATTTCATGACTGTTGGTAATAATCTCTAATAGTAATGGCAAACAAAGTTGGATTTTTAAAAAGATACATTCAGGCTGGGCAGTAGTGGCGCATGATTTTAATCCTAGCACTCAGGAGGCAGAGGCAGGCGGATCTCTGTGAGTTTGTAGGCCAGCCTGGTCTGTAGAGAGAGATCTAGGACAGCCAAGGCTACACAGAGGAACCCTCTCTCAAAAACTAAACAAAAAAATACATTCCAAAATGTGATATTTCTACATGTACTTTGGAACCAGGCTTCAAAGTCTACGGTGAAAACTTTGTATTTCAGTAACTCCATATTCACCACCTGAAAACTGGCAGTGTTGGTAATGACTTGGACACCTATAACATTCCCATCGAATTAGCAGACCACATATAGACACAGAGCTATAAATAGTGAGGTTAGAATACTGCTTAGGCAGTGGCTCGTTAAGACACTTCATAAGAAATTGTATTTATCCCTTTCAGAAGACAGGCATTCCAAGATGAGTGTTCGCTCAGCCATGATGGTGAGCCAGGTTCTTCCGGGTTGCTCCATCATCTCCTACACTTAACTTCCAATGTTTAATACGTATGCTCTGGCTCCTGTTGCCACACTTAGTGGAGATGGGAAGTCAAGAGTTTAAAGACACGAGCTGGTGTAATGTTACTCTGCCCACAATGCATCACATAGGATTTTGTCTCTGGTCACACCTAGCTACACAGGAGACTTGCAGTATAGTGTTTGGTTTTTGTTTGTTTTTGTTTTTGAGACAGGGTCTCACTTTGTAGCCCAGGCTGGCCTGGAATTCACTGTGTAGACCAGGCTAAGCATCAAACTTGTGGTAATCCTTCCTTAGCCTGTCAAATGCTGGAGTTATAAATACAAGCCACCAAGCCATGCAGTGGTGGTACACACCTTTAGTCCCAGCTCAGGAGGCAGAGGCAAGCAGATCTCTGAGTCTGAGGCAGCCTGGTCTACAGAGCAAGTTCCAGGCAGGGTGACACAGAAAAACCCTGTCTTGAAAAATCACTAAATAAGTAAATACAAGCCACCATCCCTTGCTCAGTTTAACTTTTATTATCAGATCTGTGTTCTTTTTTTTTTTGAAGATTTATTTATTTATTATGTATACAATGTTCTGCCTGCGGTGTACACCTGCAGACCAGAAGAGGGCACCAGATCTCATTATTGATGGTTGTGAGCCACCATGTGGTTGCTGGGAATTGAACTCAGGACCTCAGGAAGAAGAGCCAGTGCTCTTAACCTCTGAGCCATCTCTCCAGGCCAGATCTGTGTTCTTAGTATAGCCTGTTTTCATCTGTTTATTTATTGTAGGTACAAATAAACACTGAGTAAATAGGTTACTTACTAAATAACAATAAACTAGAAATAATAGTGATTATAAAGTCCAGTCTGACTACAAGATGTGTTCTTCCCTTTTCTTTAAGCTACTAACAGTAAGTGGATCCACGAACATCCAGAATCTGCATATAATCTTGTTAATTCTCCACACTTGAAACCTGCCTGGGTCCTGGACAGAGCACTTTGGCATTTCTCCTGTGATGTGGCAGATGGGAAGTACAGAGAAAAAGGAGTCCCTGCTTTGATTGAAAATGATCAACACATGAATGTAAGTGTGTGTAGCAGACCACCCCACAAACTTCCAAAGAGCAAATTAACTGTATATAAGTGGAAATAGGTATAATATGGAGAAAGGAATGTGGTCAGGTACATTTTATGTTGTTTTTAACATTGAAATTTTTCAGGGCATTCGGAAAATAATTTGGGAGGACATTTTCCCAAGGATTCAGCTGTGGGAGTTTTTCCAAGTAGACGTTCACAAAACAGTTGAACAATTTAGAACACTTCTCATTCAAGGTAAAGACTTTAAACTAGGTTGTCCCTATTGCTTTTTAAGACATTTAAGGTTACTCTTAAAGGGATGACTCTTTCTCTGTAGTTAGTATCATTATTAAATCTTTATGGATAATGTTTGTGGGATTTTTACAATACAAAACTCCAGTTTTTCTTGGCAAAGTGACGCGTGCCTTTAATCTCAGCACTCGGGAGGGAGAAGCACATTTGTGTGTAAGTAGGAAGGGGAGGGAGGAAGGAAATATCCCTGTTAACTTTTTGTTTTATTTTCTATGAAATAGTTATATACTGAAAAATTGAAAAAGTGACAGTTACAATCTTCTGTGAATGTTTGCATTTAAAATACAATTTTTTCTTTCTTTCAGAAAACAGGAGAGTGACTAAATCTGATCCAAAGGAACATCTTAAAATTATTCAGGACCCTGAATACAGACGGCTCGGCTGTGCTGTTGATATGAGCCTCGCACTGGTGACTTTCGTACCACATGAGTATGTTATGCTTTTCCCCGGTAGTGTTACTCCTAAATACTGATACTATTCATTAAAACCTTCATTGAAAATGAATAAAGGAAGGGGTTGATGAGGCGACTCAGTAGGTAAAGGCGCTTGCTGACCTCTTGAAATTGATCCTCAGAAGAAGAAAATCCACTCTGGAAAGCTGTCCCTTGATCACCACACACATGCTATGCACACCCATACACATACACAACTTGTACATACTTAATAAATAACAAATGTGACATGTTTTTAAAATAAACTGAAGCGATCGGCCCTGTTTTTACAATTTCAACACCTGACCTTTCCTACATTCTCTGTGTCAGGCCATCGTGCTAAACGTGTAATTAAAACTTTTACAACTGAAAAGGCTCCTCACTCCTGATGACAGTGTTTAAGATTTCTGTGACACTCGTTGGGAAATGTTCAAGTCTGGGTTTTGAAAGCACTAATGCTTGTTTTCCTCTGTGTGCTAGCACTGGGCCAGCTGCACTTGAAGAGTGCTGTAACTCGTTCCGGAAGAGACTTGAGGAGTTGAATGCAGAGAAGCACCACCTCACCAGCTGCCACCAGGAACAGGTCCAGCCAGCTCTGAATCACTGCTTTTCTTTGAGTCTGAGTCCCTGGCATTTCCATTGGCATTGTAACGTAATTCAATGTTTTGTAGGCCGTCAATTGTCTCTTGGGAAACGTGTTTTATGAACGACTGGCTGGCCATGGCCCTAAACTAGGACCCGTCACTAGAAAACATCCTTTAGTTACCAGGTATACATTCTATTTTAAAAAATGTCCTCTTGATGATAATAAACGTTGAGAGCATTTAACTTTTCAACTTGACCTAATATTTCTTTTTCTTCAATACAGTACATTGAAATAGAAGTTCTGATTCAGAAATAGACTTATTACTGATTAATTTTCATAGATAAGTCTTTAATTTGAAAAACAATCAGCAGTTTGAACCAAATTACATTTATTTATGTTGGTATTTCTGGAGAAGTGCATATTTAATGTCAGTCTGTTTACTGTTGCTAAAACAGAATGCCCAAAATTGGGTAATTTATAAAGAAAGGGAGTTTAATTTGGTTCAGGGTCCACAGGCCAGGAAGTCTAAGAACGTGGCAGTAGTATCTGCTCACTTTCTGGCTAGGGCTTTGGGCTGTCTCCATTCATGGCAGGAAGATGACAGGCAAGTGAGTGTAGATGGAAGATGCAAAACATAAGGTGACTTCTGAAACCCACCATCATGATAACTATGCAAGAACTCACCCAGAAGAGAAGGATGTTAATCCACTCACGAGGGTGTCCTGCCCAGAACCAGGACACCTGTCACTGGGCGTCATCTCCCAGCACTACCACGCTAAGGAATTAAGGCTCCACACCTGGTGTGGTAGCACATGTCTAATCCCACAGTATGGAAGCAGAGATGGGAGAAGTCCAAGCTCAGGGTCCCTGTGCTGGAAAGTGAGGCTTTGTCTAAAGAAGGGGAGGGGCAAAGGAGTTAAGGTTCCAGTGCATGAACTTTTGGAAACACTGTACGGATAGCACTCGGCAGTAGTAAATTCAGTGCTAGTCGGAGAGAGCAAGCACCTCACTCCTTACATAAAACCTGCAGCATCGGGGCTAGAAGGATGGCTCGGCAAGTAAGAGCACTTGCTGCTCCTGCGGAGGACCTGGGTTCAGTTCCCAGCTTCTGCTTGGTGGAACCACCCATAACTCCAGTTCCGCGGAATGCGTTGTCCTCTTCTGGCCCCACGGCCACCAAACTACACACAGGGCACTCAGTATGTTCAGGCAAAATACTCATCTACAAAATAAAATTAATCAACTTTTTATAAAGCACACAGTGTATGTTAGGCAGCTAAAGGGTAGGAAATCCTCAGTGGTTTCCCTATAATTCTACAAAGTTGTGAAGGTTATTTAATGTTAGCTATTCTTCAATTTTTTTCATTTTAGTTCTTCAAGTTTTTAATGTTGCTCCTTCTCATTCTCTTCATGGAGTTTCTTTGTGTGGACCTTCTTTTAATTCTCTCTCCCTAGGTATTTTACTTTCCCCTTTGAAGAAATGGCCTTATCCACAGAAGAGTCCATGATGCACCTCCCAGATAAAGCTTGCTTCCTGATGGCACACAATGGATGGGTGATGGGCGATGATCCCCTTCGCAACTTCGCTGAGCCAGGTCCCTGACTTTTCGCTTCTCTCTAGATAGGAAACGAGCTTGTGGAAGGCTCAAACTGGGATCTGTTTTATTGGTTGTTTTTGTTTTTACAGTAGGTTCTTGATTTTTAAACTGTTTGACTAGAGGTATCAGAAATGCATCAGTTTGAGAGCGAACCTGTCTCCTTCACCCTCGCCTCTCATTTTCTCAAACTAACTGTTATGTGTCTGTTTCATATAGCGTCTGTCTACTTAGGATTCAGTTTAAGCAGAATATTCTATTGCTTTTTTTTTAATGTGTGTAGATGTTTTGCCTGCATGTACATATGTATGTGTAACACATGCATGCAATGCCCACAGAGGCGGTCAGGTACCCTGGGATTGAATTTATAGATAGTCGTAAGCCACCACGTGGTTGCTGGGAGAAGAACCCAGGTCCTCTGGAATAGTAGCCAGGACTCTTAACCACTGAGTCATCTCTTCTGCCCCTCCACTACATTTTAAAAAATAAGTTAGAAACCGCTTTTGTTAGACTACATTGTTGTAAGATATTTTCACTTATTGGCCAGGGAAGTTAACTGTAAAGGCAAGCTAGAGACAGTTATCCTCAGAGTCCTTCCTCCTCACTCTTAGAGTCTTCTCTAAAACTTCTTCACTGGAGGAAACCCATTGCTGTATTTTTCTCCCCCAGAATTCCAGGGCTAAGACTTTATTTTAGTAACATTACAGTTAATTTAAAAATTGTATTTATTTTTAAAGAATATAGTTTTGAGTTAAGGTTTTTCTGTCCTCCCTTTTCTGGTAAGTCTAAAGGAAAAAAGCCATTCTGCTGTATACCATGGTTTTAATATACCTGTTGCTAAAAGGGGTGGTGAGGAGAATTTAAGGGTAGAGCTGGAGCTTTAAAAATTTGTGTAAAACTTTGGGGCATGGTGTTGTGCACCTTTAGTGCTAACTCTGGGGAGGAGGATCTGTGTGAGTTCGAGGCCAGCCTGGTCTATAGAGTGAGTGCCAGGAACTTGCTCAAAGTCCTCTCTCAAAACAAGAACTAACGTTTTAAAAACAGAATGATATCACTGTAAATGTTTCTCCTTAAGAAAGAGCTTGAACTTTGTATATTGAGCTTACATCTTAAGAGGGGACTGACTCAGCTGGGTGGTGGTGGCGCACGCCTTTAATCCCAGCACTCGGGAGGCAGAGCCAGGCGGATCTCTGTGAGTTCGAGGCCAGCCTGGTCTCCAAAGCGAGTTCTAGGAAAGGCGCAAAGCTACACAGAGAAACCCTGTCTCGAAAAACCAAAAAAAAAAAAAAAAAAAAAAAGAGGGGACTGACTCTAAAGCTAGAACTTTTTACAGAATAGTTAGGAGCTAAAATTGATGTCTTGAAACTTCATCCTATGCCAGTTTACTTTTTCCCCCCAAAGTGTTGGGAGTTCAAACCAATGCCTTTTACACACATAAGTGCTATATACCTGAGCTATGTTCTCATCCTCATTTTAGATGTAATTTTATCCAGGAGACTGGAGAAATGGCTCACCAGTTTAGAGCAGCTCCAGTTCCAGATAATCAACCACCCTCTTCTGGCCCCTGAGAGCACCAAGCACATACATGGTATACAGACATACATGCAGGCAAAACACCATACGCATAAGATAAAAATCATAATTAATTTTTTAAATTTAGCCAGAATATCATTTATGGAAGAAATAACAGTTTGAAAACAGCATTGTTTCCTTGGGATAATTGTTGTCATCCAATTTCATGCACCACTGAAGGCAATTGTTCTTTTACAGGCTCAGAGGTTTATTTAAGGAGAGAATTGATTTGCTGGGGTGACAGTGTTAAATTGCGCTATGGGAATAAGCCAGAGGACTGTCCTTATCTGTGGGCACACATGAAGAAATACACTGAGATAACTGCCACTTACTTCCAGGGAGTGCGTCTTGACAACTGCCACTCCACACCTCTTCACGTGGCTGAGGTACGAACAACTCCTTTTCCTTGACAAAAGAAATAACAGTGACATCTGGTAGCTTCGTGAAGTTCCTGCCACACAGGTCTAGTCTGCTCTTGTACACTGCTGTTGATTTAGTAGTAATATTTGACACATATGACAGCTTATCTAATTCTAACAACCTGGTTTTGTTTTTGATTTCTGAGACAGGATTTCACTGTGTAACCCTGGTTGTCCTGGGACTGGTTCTGTAGGTCAGACTGGCCTCGAACTCAGTGATCCACCTGCCTCTGCCTCCGTAGTGCTGAGATTAAAGATGTGCACCACCATGCCCAGCTTCTAACAATCTTTTGATATAACTGTTATAGAATACTAGGCTATAAAATGTTTAGTAAGTTAGTTTTTAAATTTAGAAAAAATATCATAATTTTATGTAATAATATGCATGATAACTTTATTGACAATATATAAAATATTAAGGTGTCTTTTAGGTTGTTTCCAATATATATTATAAATGTAAAGTTGAATAGCGTATTATACATTATAGTGATTATTCAACTTAGGCTTTTGTTTTCATTTTAGGGGTACTTGGGCATTGCATATTGCAGTACTGTGTTCTGTTCTGAGCTATAATCCCTAGCCCTTATAATGGACATTTAAACACTAACACTGTGGCTTATTAAAGCTAATTTAAGCCTCATTAATTCAATTTTAATCAGTCACCTTTAGAAACATAAATGAACGCTAACTGTAATCTGTTCTTTGGGCTTTTGAGCAATGTCAGTATTTACTCTACCTCTTATAAAGATAAATTTAGTAGTTTTTAAAGTGACGGTTCATGAAAATATGTACTTATTAGCCGGGTTTAGTGGCTCATACCTTTAATCCCAGCACTAGAAGGCAGAGGCAGGTGATCTCTGTGAGTTTGAGGCAGAGGCAGGTGATTTCTGTGAGTTTGAAACAGAGGCAGGTGATCTCTGTGAGTTTGAGGCCCAGCCTGGTCTACAGAGTGAGTTCCAGGACAACCAGGGCTACATAGAGAGACCCTGTCTCAAAAAATGAAAAGAAAAAGTGCTTATATAAAAAACACATTAACTTATTTAGTTCACATTTTCTCTCTGTGTGGTATGTGTATGTGTTTTTGTGATTCCAGATGGTTTTAATGGGAGGGATTTGATAGGAAACATTAACCAGGCCGGTAGAACATTATTTACCTCTAAAAATTTGAAGCAGAGAGTCTTTTTCAGCTGTGCTTTTAGCAACAGTAAAAAAGCCATATTTGTAACATTGCTATAATGTTATATAGCAAATTAAATTTAAATGGCAAAGTTCTCTAGAATTCTACTTCTTAGCTAATAAAATTGCAGGTATTTTACTACCTCTGTGTAAGAATTCCTTCAAAAAAAATTGATAACAATCTGATTATTAACCACTATTATCTGTTTCTCTGATAAATCAGTAGCACCAATGTTACATATGCATTACACACACACACAGGCACACGCATATGTAGAAGTGGTAAGGTGCTGGCATTTGTTGTCATCTACAGGATGAGTTTAGCCTAACCTTTACTGAATAATTCACCATCAGATATAACTATCAGTTCTGACTTAATTAGCCCCCCAGAGATTAATAATCTTATTAGAGGTATTAAGAACAAATAAAAACAGGGGAAGTCTGGCAGAATTGCAGTGTCACAGGCTGTGTTTTAATGACACTAACATTTTCTTTTTTTTTCTCTTTCCTTCTCCTCTGTCCCTAATCTTGTCTACAAACCTAATCTTCTTTTCACTGTTGTTCTCTGTAAACCCTCGGGCCCCCACGGGTGCTGATCTTTCATGTTGTCTCTCATGTGCACGTCAAACTTTATTTGGTACTTCCTTTTGTGTTCCCTTGTACCTATTTCATGTCAAATCCACACCTAGTCTTGTCCCTCCTTCCCTCTCTGTCCTGCTCTCTTCTTTCTTTTACATTTGTGACTATGCTTTTTGCAGTACATGCTGGATGCTGCTAGAAAATTACAGCCCAATCTTTATGTAGTGGCTGAGCTGTTCACAGGAAGCGAAGAGCTGGACAATATCTTTGTTACTAGACTGGGCATCAGTTCCTTAATAAGAGGTAGGCTCACTGAAGTCCATTTCCTGTCTGAGATTGTAAATGGATGTTTCCTATCTCAACCGCCTGTTCCCCAATACCCAGTAACCTCTTCCCAAATTACCATACAGAAGCTTATATTAATTATAAATGTCCGCCTGATAGCTCAGGCTTATTACTAACTAGCTCTTATATTTTAAGTTAACCCATATTTCTATTTATGCTTTGCTACATGGTGGTACCTTTATTAGCATGGCACGTTCATCTACTCCCTCTGTGTCTGGCTGGTGACTCCTGACTCTGCCCATTTCCTTCACATCATCATTAGTTTGGTTGCCCTGCCTATACTTCCTGCTGGCCAGTTAGCATTTTATTAAACCAATTCAAGTGACAAATCTTTATAGTGTACAAGAGGATTGTTCCATAGCATTTCCCCCTTTTGTCTAATTAAAAAGAAGATTTTAACTTTAACATAGATTATAAAAATTATGTAAGATTATATACAACAAAAACGGTTATCAAGTAAGAATTACAGTTACACTATCCAGTCTATCTGTATTTGGCAAAATTAGAGAAAATACCTAATTATGTTTTCTTGGTGAGCCTAAATTTTTGTATCTATATAACTAAGAAAAACTATAATTATAACCATTCAGTATTCAACTCCATCAAAGACCCCAGAAGGGTGAAATGTTACATAATGACAGGGACATCAGTCTGCCTGGACAGTCACCCAAGGTTCCTCTGTAACATTGGGTCATCCTCTTTGGCCTACAGACCTAGCATATCTTACAGACTTTACTGTGAAACAGGGAATTCTGAAGCACTGTCCTACCTTGTCTTGGCAAAGTTCTGCAGTCACTTTCTTGTGTGTCCTTCTGTCCAGTTTGAACAATAACTGTCAGCAGTTGAGGCATGGCCAGTTTCTTTGCCCATATGGCTAGCTTTTCCCATAAAGAGAACAAACTCCGTATGAAGTTCTTTGATGCCAATCATCTTCTCTGAAGTAGATTGTTGCTGCCAGGAGCAGACATGTCTCACTGTCGTGAAAGGCCTTAGGTTATTAAACATATTAAATTCCATATTCTGTAAGTCTTTGAAGTGTTTGAAGATCATCTATCTAAATATATGTGTATGACCTTGAAAACATACCTAACATGACTCTAAGTTTGACTATTATAGATGACCATTAATCTATATTTCTTAATTATATATTACATTTTTAAATGAGCTGCGTAATACCCTAAACTAGAGTAGAAATATACATACAGTATAACAAAATTAACTTTAAATTTGGAACAATAAACTAAAATCCATTCCAATGTAAAATATTCTGAGATTAATAGCTTTTTTATGCATTAAAGTAGATTCAATAATCTACCCTTTTATCCTATCATTTCTATATCCCCCCTTTTTTCTTTTTAGAATGAGATCACTGAATCTAATCTCCTTTGTTCAGCTTTTTTCCTGACCATTACCAATAACAACTTGTAACCAACCCCCTAAACAATGAAAAACATTTGTAACCAATATTTTGGAATGCGGGTGTAGTTCTTTAGACTACTTCTGCTGATTGGGTGTGCTGATAATCTTTGAGGGACCCTGAGAAAATTTAGGATAATGGTTAAGTCTTGACTAGTGTCATCTGTGAGGCTGGATCATCTCAGCCAGCAGCCTTGAAGCTGTTCTGGATGCAGAACTCAGAGGAAACTGCAACAGAGGTGCTCTGAAATGATGGATCATCTGGGCCATCAGTTCCCATCAGAGATTTTTCAGGGGGTCTTTCTTTATCAGACCTGATGTTTCTTAACCCAGAATGAATCCAGAGCCTCTCTTGTAGAAATAAAAGCAGAACCTCTTTCCAAGAGTAACACATCTTTTGACTTAAATTTTGAATTCAAGATATTTTTAAAATATATAGGTTGATTTAATCTACCAATTTCCATAATCGAAGGTCTCTTAGCAGCCAAAAATTTTTTATTTTAGCAGCCAAAAATTTTAAAGACAGCACATTAATATACATAATCCAGACTCTCTATGTTTGTTTTCCATCTTTACATGGCTTATTATATTTTTTTTATTACTCTATTTCTTTTTTAAGGCCTTTTTCTACCCTTTTTCTTTTCTTTCCCAAGCCTATATATATATTTTTAAACACACTATAAATCGTTTAGAGGTTTTGTTGTTTTTTGGTTTTTTGTCTTAATCTTTCTTTACTGCATATCTCTGTCTTTTGCTGATCACATGAATCTTTAAACTGCTAAGAGGCATGGCTAGGACCAAAGTGATGGCTGTAGTGGCTGGCTCCGCCCCATTCTTTGGTTCTGAGAGCCTAGCTTCACCGTGGAGGTACCAGCAAGCCATGTTTATTGCCCCAGCTCTGAGAAGTTTCTGGATTCACACTGTCACCAAGTAGTATGCCACCCACTACTCACAAATACCATTTAAGCGTTTGGTAGTAGGACCTCTTAAAAGAACTGCATGGTTTTTGCTGCTAATGCTGAGTCAGGAAACCATCTCTTAAAGGAGCCATGCCTCTATTCACTCTCAGCAAACAGAGCCCACCGGAGAAAAAGCAGTTACCAAGAAATCAAATTTGACTCTATTTTTATGTGTTTGGAATCCTTTTTTAAGCTTTGTCGGGTTTTATGTGGAAATTTTGGCCACGAGTTGGAGCGCCATATGTAAAGGGATATTTCCTGTCCTGACTGCCTGTTCCCAAATACCCAGCATCCACTTCCCAAATTACCACACAGAAGCTTATATTAATTATAAATGCTCAGCCAATAGGTCAGGCTTATTACTTATTAGCTCCTACATTTTAAGTTAACCCATATTTCTATTTATGCTTTGCCACATTGCGGTATCTTTATTAGCATGGCATGTTCATCTTCTGTTCCCTCTGCATCTGGCTGGCAACTCCTGACTCAGCCCTTCTCCTTTCCATCATCTTTAGTATGGTTGCCCCGCCTATACTTTCCTACGTGGCTATTGGCCAATCAGCATTCGAGTGAGAAATCTTTACAGTGTATAAGAGGATTGATCCACAGCAACAATGAGATGCTTTGCTTTTATTTAAGTGGATGACAAGGCATGTAATAACCCTTTATGTAATACCTAATATAACTGAGTTTCCTTTTAACAGGTAAAATTTCTAGTTTGTACTAAGATAATTTCAAACAGAAAGACCAGTGAGGCCAGGTATGATAGTTTATACCTGTAATCTCACCACTTAGGAGACTAAGGCAAGAAGATCACATGTTTAGGGCCAGCTTGGGCTACTTAAGTTCCAGACTAGCCTAGGATACATTTTTTTTGAGATCCTGTCTCAAAAAATAAAAGGAAAGAAAGCTGGTGAGATGACTCAGTGAGTAAAAATGCTTGTCCCCAAGCCAGGTGACCTGAGTTAGGTCCCCAGAGCCCACATGGTGGAAGGAGACAGCAGACTCCTGAAAGTTGTCCTCTGACTTGTACACATATGGTGGCACCTGTGCACACACAATATGTCCACAAAAGTAATTAATTGATTTGAAAGGGTGAGGGAGAAAGGGAGAGAGGTAGGTGTGGTAGGTTACTGACTCAAAAACAGAACCGTGTTTGTATATTTTGAAAATACACAAATCTGTTTTAACCTACTACTATATGATGCATTTTTTAGATATTTTCCCCATAGATTTAATATAATCAGCATCCCAGTGAACAGCTATTGATCCTTTTTTTCTACTCAAGTTGTTTCTCCAGTTAAATTGTAGTTAAGTGTTGGTCACTTGGAGTTGGTGACATTTGCTTAATGACTTAACCCCACTTTTAATAACGTTGATATGCCTTGGAAGTCAGTCATGATCAGAATCTAACCTTCTCTTGGACATTGTGAGGAACAGGGTTAGTAAACTGCTCTGTTCTGTCTGCAGAGGCCATGAGCGCGTATAACAGTCATGAGGAGGGCAGATTAGTTTACCGATACGGAGGGGAACCTGTCGGATCCTTTGTGCAGCCCTCTTTGAGGCCTCTGATGCCAGCTATTGCGCATGCCCTGTTTATGGACATTACCCACGACAATGAGTGTCCAATTGTGGTAAGCATCAACCTGTTTCTTGTACTGCCTAGTGTTGCTAAATGTTTCAATATTTAGCCGTCTGGTGCTTGATGGCAGTGATATCCACATACTTTTTCAGTGGTTGAAATGCCTTGATTTTAAAGTGTTTTGTTGTTTTGAAACAAATCACATGCCTTCCAAAGTGTGTCTATACTTGTTCTTGGCTGATGGAGTGTGCATGTCACTTGGCATTTGAAGGAACGTGAGTTTCTGCTTTCTTTTCTAGCACAGATCAGCCTACGATGCTCTTCCAAGTACCACGATTGTCTCCATGGCGTGTTGTGCTAGTGGAAGTACAAGAGGCTATGATGAGCTAGTGCCCCATCAGGTGTGTTGAATCCACATGGCCAGCAGCACTGGTCATTTTTATCCACGTTTTCATTGTAATTAGCATGCACATGTGACCAAGCTTTACCTCTTCAGATCTCAGTGGTTGCTGAAGAACGATTTTATACTAAATGGAATGCTGGGGCGTCGCCGTCAAATGCAGGAGATGTTAATGTCCAGAGTGGGATCATTGCAGCCAGATGTGCCATCAATAGACTCCATCAAGAGCTGGGAGCCAAGGGTTTCATTCAAGTAAGAAATGAAATTTTAAAAATTGCCCTCTGGACTTTGCATTTCAAAGGAAGACCTTCTGGACTGAGCCCTTGTTTCCAGACGCAGCGCTGAGCCAGTTTCCCCCACTTCTCAGGTGTACGTGGACCAAGTGGACGAAGACATAGTGGCGGTCACAAGGCACTCACCGAGCATCCACCAGTCGGTTGTCGCTGTGTCCAGGACTGCTTTTAGGAATCCCAAGACGTCATTTTACAGCAAAGAAGTGCCTCAAATGTGCATCCCTGGTAATCTAACCCACGCACTGGTGGAATTACATCACGAAGTTACATTAGCACATTGTCTTCATATGTCATATATGACATATAAACTTGGTTCAGAAAAGAACTTAGATGGAGGCAATTTCACTGCATGGAACAAAATCTAGACAAGAATATTCCTGAGCATTAACATTGTTTGAGTTGTGAAATACTTTTGTTTGCATTTTAATGTATCCCTTTTTTTCCTAATATATATTAACATGTGTTTCCTTATACTGTGGATAACATATGTGTCTGTGTATCTGTTTTTACATGTGCATAACATCTATACACATACTATATACGCATATATACACGTGTATGTATTTAAAAGGCAAATATTAAGACTGCTCATAATCCATCCTCATCAACCATCCTAACTAAGCCTTCCGTCAGTCTGGCATTCAGCCAAGTAGATATTTTTATTATTCTCTATGTAGTCTTCTTACCCACTGATATATGATTATTTATAGCCTTCAAGGACTATCTCTAAGTATATAGTCTGTCTATCTTTGACATTTATATGTTCCTGAGATCTTCCCTTATTGTTGGTTGGCTTTTTGCTAGATGTCTACATTTTACTCCTTACTATTTTAGATAGTGTAGTATAACACAGCATACTCCTACACAAATAGCAACTGCTTGTTAATTGAATGAAAAGTCTAAAAAAAAAACCATTCTGTGTGTGTGTGTGTGTGTGTGTGTGTGTGTGTGTGTGTGTGTGTGTCTATGTATTTGTGTGTGTATTTTTTTAAGGTGACAGGAACATAGTCATACAGGCTAGCCTAAAACCAACGAGGCTAGCCCTGGACTTAGAGATGTTGTTCTGTCTCAGCCCCTTAAGTTGCTAGGATTACAGATTCACATATCCATGCCCAGCCCATATTCTATATTTCTTGCTAGTTGCTAAATATCTATGGCTTCAACTTTTAAAAATTGTCAACCTAGCTAGACGGTGGTGGCACACGCCTTTAATCCCAGCACTTGGGAGGCAGAGACAGGCAGATTTCTGTGAGTTAGAGGCCATCCTGGTCTACAGAGTGAGTTCTGGGATAGCCAGGGCTACACAGTGAAACCCTATCTCAAAAAAAAACAAAAAATAACAACAAAAATTGTCAACCTAAAGAATTTTAGGGTTAAATATTCATTACCTGCTTTAGTGATCTGATATTTGCTAATGTCTTACTTAGTTTTCCTTTTGTTTATTTAGTATTTTTGGTATTGGGTGTTACACGTGCCAAGCATGCATTGCACCACTGACCTACACTCCCAGCTCCATATTATCTTAAAGAGCTCTTAGAGAACACAGTACTGTCTCAGGATTTGTGTTGATCCTGATCATTCTCAGAACATTCCCATTATCCAGTTCACTAAATGGTAATTTCATCTCTTGTTATGTGAGTATTTGATCTTTAAAGAGTCTCTCTCCTAACACTAAATTTTGAATGTACATTAGAATAGTTTTTGTTAAAATGTTTATATTTTCCCAGGCAAAATTGAAGAAGTAGTTCTTGAAGCTAGAACAGTTGAGAGGAATACAAAACCGTATAAAAAAGATGAGAGTTCAATCAATGGGATGCCGAATGTGACCGTGGAATTCAGAGAGCACATCCAGGTATTTGGGGTTCTGGTTTTCACTGTGCTTAATAGTTTAAGAAATTTAAATTAGTTAATGAATGGATTTTCTGTATCTTTTTCAAGCTTCATGAAAGTAAAATTGTCAAACAAGCTGGAGTTTCTACAAAGGGTCCCAATGAATATATTCAGGAAATAGAATTTGAAAATCTATCACCAGGAAGTGTTATCATATTCAGGTATGTTAATTAGAGTTCAAACGGTTGACTTTACTTATATTGAAAATATTTTGGGGGGTCTGGAGCGATGGCTCATCGGTTAAGAGTGCTTGCTGATATTGTAGAGGACCTGGTTCAGTTCCCAGCAGCCATGTCAGGTGCTCACAACCACCTATACCTCCAGTTCCAGAGGATCTGATGTCTTCTTCTGCTCTCTCTGGGCACCTGCACACATTCAATTTGTACACACAGAGGCACATAACATTTTTTAAAAATCTAGAAAAAAATAGTTTGTGTATCTTGTTAAGTTTGAATAAACTAAAAGTTACCTGTTTTTTTTATCAACATTATTCAGAGTTAGTCTTGATCCACATGCTCAAGTCGCTGTCGGAATTCTTCGAAATCACCTGACCCAGTTCAGCTCTCTATTTAAATCTGGAAGCCTTGCTGTTGACAACTCAAATCCTATATTAAAAACCCCCTTCGCTTCGTAAGTATTCCCTATTTTATAGATCTACCACCTCAACAATGATGCGCTACCCCTAGCCTGATCTGGACAGTTGTAAGCATGCTTTCTCTCCTTGCTACTACTCAAAGTGTGGTCTGCAGGCCATTGATGTCAGCATCAGCCACTGTTAACATTTCAGTCTGTCACTTCATCATTTGTGTGTGTGCTCACCTGTGCACCTCTTCATGCTTATATATTCTTTCTCTATAGATTCTCTCTCTCTCTCTCTCTCTCTCTCTCTATATATATATATATATATATATATATATGCATGATTTTTCTAATCTCTCTAAGATTTAGTTGCATACATTATACTGCTTACCATATCATTTTTTTTTTCATTTTTAATGTCAACATATTATTGTTTTATATATAGCAGTGTCATAATAAATTTAGTTATTGTCCACTCTGAGATATCTAGAGCGCTTCTAATTATTCCTTATTATGTGTATCTTGGTACCCTGATTTTTGCTAAGCTTTTAAATATTCCTTTGCTGTGTGGTACCACATAGTGCTGAAGAATATCCATTTTAGACTAAGTTTGGCTAAAGCTTCAACACTGTTAGCATGATCTTGGCCAAGTTATGTAGAATTTTCTGGACAGTGGAGCTAACAGTAGTATTTACCTCTTAAGATTAAATAGGATAAAACATGGAAAACATGTGACACCATGCCTGTCATCTGATAGCTGCTTAGCATGTTTGCTATCACTGGCACTAAGTTAAATTTCTAGAAATGGAGTTTGGGGTTAGAATGTATCACATACTTAGAGTTTTTAATCCATTCTGTAAAGTAACCTCTGGAAAGATTATATCAAAGAGCATGTTCAGCTTTATGTAAGAGTTTCATCTTTGCCAATAATGAATATATATTATTATAATGTTATATTTAAGAGCATAAAGTATGCAGCACTCAGTAGGCAGAGGCAGGAGGATCCTGTAAGTTCAAGGCCAGTGTGGTCTACATAGAGCTCCAGGCTAGCCAGGAATATTTAGTGAGACTTTGTCTCTAAAACATCAACAAAAAATAGAGCATAAGTTGGTTTTGAATTCTATTTCAGACTCTGATGAGCTATGAGAAGATAGACCTGGTTAGGGTTATAACTCAGTTGGTAGAATACTTTCTTTTTTTTTTTTTTTTTTTTTTTTTTTTTTTTTTTTTTTTTTTTTGGTTTTTCGAGACAGGGTTTCTCTGTGTAGCTTTGCCCCTTTCCTGGGACTCACTTGGTAGCCCAGGCTGGCCTCGAACTCACAGAGATCCGCCTGGCTCTGCCTCCCGAGTGCTGGGATTAAAGGCGTGCGCCACCACCGCCCGGCTGGTAGAATACTTTCTTAGCATGCACAAATCCCAGGGTTTGTTCCGTAGTGCCACATGGTAGTATACACCTATAATCACAGCACTTCAAAGGAAGAAACAGGATAATCAGAAGTTCAGTGTAATCCTTGACTGCATAGTGAATTCGAGGCCAGCCTGAAATACATTAGACCATGCAAAACATAAAAGAAGTGAGGCATGGTGGTACATGTCTTTGATCCTAGCACCTGGGAGGCAGAGGCAGAAGCAGGTAGATCTCTGTGAGTTTGAAGCCAGTCTGGTTTACAAAGTGAATTCCAGGACAGCCAGTGCTATGTAGAGAGATCATGTCTCAAAAAAAATTAAATTAAATTTGAAAAAAGGAAGTAACACTTTGAACAGTTATTACAATTAGAGTTTCTTTTACTAAAGAGTTGTAAGACTTATTTATGTAAACCACCTGGCACAGTATTTGACACACAGTACCTGGTCAGGATTACTAATCAAATTGGTAAATATAAAATACTTTAACATCTCATCTTAAATATTAGTTAAACTAATGTTTTATCTATTTGTATTTGTTTGGCTAATGTCATTTTATGCAGTAGCCTGTTTTTCTGTAGTGTTCAATATTTTGGTTGTTTTGTAAGAGTTTTTAAACACTGAGGATCTTAATTCAAAATATTCTAGTGAAGCAATTACCTACCAAAAAAGTCTGTGATGGAATAGTTGTGTATGTCTCTAGAATGTTATATAAAAAAGGACATTTCTTTTTAGACCTCAGATTATTTCAAAGTAAGAACAAAAGAGTCTGCATTTTAAAGCTTCCTGGGTGCTTTTTGTGCAAGGAGTCCACTGGTTATGTGCTGGGAAATACTGTCCTAGAGAGAAAAGGGCACTGGGCCTGCTCACTTATTTGATGGCCCTGGTCTTGAACTGGAGCTGTGGAAAGGGAGCAAAGCACAACAGTTTTCTAACTTGAGATAGAACAAAATAAGAGAAAAGGGAGACATTCAAGAAGATATGTGTTCACAGAAAATGCTGGTTTTGTGAAGTGAAATTACCTGAGCAACTAAGAAAATACAATTTCAACTATTGTCTTAGTCAGTGTTCTATAACTGTGAAGAGACACCATGACCATAGCAACTCTTATAAAGGAAAACATTTAATTGGGATGGCAGCTTACAGTTTCAGAGGTTTAGTCCATTATCATCATGGTGGGGAACATGGGAGCATGCAGACAGACATGGTGCTGGAGAAGTAGCTGTGATCTCTACATGTGGATCCACAGGCAGCAGAAAGAGAGAGAGCCACTGGGCCTGGCTTAGGCTTCTGAAACCCTAAAGCTCACCCCTAGTGACATGCTTCCTCTAACAAAGCCACACTGTTGCACGAATCCTAAATGGTCTTATAATAAAAGCCCAGAGCCAGATGTCAGGGTGAAAGCCGAAAGATCAGAGAAGAGAAGTAGAGCAAGCCACAGCCACCACCTCTTACCTCACCGACTCCTTAGCCTGACAGAGCATCTGCACGAGAGTGAATTTCTGTCTCCTCCCACCTTATATTCCCTTCTCTGCCCAGCCATATTACTTCCTGTTTCAACCTTTCTAATGCTGGGATTAAAGGTGTGTGAACCCAAGTGCTAGAGTTAAAGGTGTGTGCCACCACTGCCTGGCTGTTTCTCTTTTAGACTGGATTAGTCTTGTGTAGTCCAGTGTGGCCTAAAATCACAGAAATCCAGATAGATCTCTGCCTCTGCCTCCAGAGTGCTAGGATTAAAGGTGTGTGACACCACTGCCTGACCTGGTATGACTAACTCTGTGGCTAGCTCTGTCCTCTGATCTTCAGGCAAGCTTTATTTCATAGATTACAAATATATCACCACATTTCCCCTTTTTTGTCTACAATAGTAAAAGAAGGTTATAACTAATATAAGAAAAATGATATACAAAAAGTACAATAACTATATATAATATGTCAGTCAAGAATTACATTAATAATGTCTAGCCCATTAACAATTGACAAATTCAGAGAAAATATTCTATTATTTATCATATTTTGATGAATCCAAAGTGTTGTACCTAATTCACTTTCTATCCTAACTTGTATTACCAACCAAAAACTACCTTTTGATGTTTTTCAAACTTATACACTTTACACCTCTTTAGTGAGTTTCTTTTCTGAAATTGTTAACAAGGAAAACTATAACTATCTAGTCATCAACTCCATCAGAGACTGGAGAAGGAAATACTGTTAACTGAGTAAGCAGGAAATGTAAACAAGCGACTTCCAAAAAATGTGAGAAATGTCAGAAACAACTGGCTGCCTGGACAGTCACTCAAGGTTCCTCTGCAATGTTGGGACTATAGGCCTAGCATATCTGACAGACTTTTCTGTGAAGCAGGATTTTCTAAAGTGCCTTCCTACCTTGTCTTGGCAAGGATTGGCAGTCTGTTTTGTTTTGTTTTTTCAAGACAGAGTTTCTCTGTGTAGCTTTGGAGCCTGTCCTGGAACTCGCTTTATAGACCAGGCTGGCCTTGACTTCACAGAGATCCACTTGCCTCTGCTTCCCGAGTGCTGGGATTAAAGGCATGTGCCACCACCGCCTGGCTGGTAGTCCTTTCATTTGTGTCTTGCTTGTCCATTTTGGACAGCATACTGTCAGCAGTAGAGGCAAGGGTACCTTCTTGCCCAGTGGCTAACTTTTCTGACAAAGACAGTAAACTCCATATGGAGTTTCATCGATGCCCATCATCTCTGAAGTAGATTGGTGCTGCCAGGAGCAGACATGTCTCATTGTCATTAAAAACAAAAGAAAGAATCTACATTATTAAAACATCTTAAATGCTATATTCTGTAGACCTTTGAAGTGTCTATCTAAAATACATCTGTTTGACCTTGAATACATACCTAATATGACTATAAGTTCAATTGTAATAGGTAACTAACTGCTAACCTGCATTTCTTTATTATCCTAAATAGTTTGTAATAATAACTTTCAAGGACTAGCGATTTGTATTACATTGTTAAATGAACTGTATAGGTACAATACCTTGAACAAGAGTAGAAATGTATGTACCGTATGTTCCAACAAAAATAGTCTAGAATTTGTATCAATGTATACAATATACAAGAATCCAATCCACTGTAAAATAATTAAAACTAGTAGTTGCTTTTTAAAAGTAGATTCAATAATCTACCTTTTATCTTATATCTATATTGTCTTTTTTCTTTTTCTTCTTTTCTTTTTTTTTTTTCAAACAAGAATTCCCAATCTAATCTCCTTTGTTTAGCTTTTTCCCTGACCATTACCAGTAACAACTTGTAATCAACCACCAAAACAATGACAAATATTCATAACCCATTGAAGGACCAAAAACTACCCATCCCACCTCTTGGGACTGTGGGTGTCATATTCTTAAAATTACTTCCTGCTGTCTGGGGGAATGATGGCATCTTTAGGGGACCCTGAAAAGAAAAATTTTGGGTTAATTGTCAAGTCCTGGGAGAGGTAGCTGTATCATTTGTTGTCCAGTCTCTGCATAATAGGAAAGTGCAGGGCTTGCCAAGTCCTAGCTAGATTAGTCTGTGAAGCTGGATCATCTCAACTAGCCATCTTGAAATTGTCCTGAGCAGTTTGTAGTCCAAAACCAGTCTTTGGGTGGTGTTTGTCAGGTTAATGGTGTTGTCACAGTCCATGTGGAATCATTATTGTGGGGCCCCAACATCCATTTGAAGATTTCAAAGATTACATTATGTCAGATTATTTCTTTTCTTGGTAATTTTTTTCAGATAGTTCTCCTTCTTTGGATGCTTATTTGTTCAAAGGTCTTTTAAATTTTTCAAGATGGTTGTTTTTATTTTCCTGAAAAGACAGAAACAAAGCCCTTCCTCAACCCTAACTTTGGGGAGTTTCCAAATCTAATCTTTATCAATTTTGATTTCTGGTTTCTACTTAAATTTTTGTTTTATTTTCTAAAGCTATTTTATCATCCAGAGCAGTATGGGTTTTTTACAATAAGCATTAGGTTCTTTAATTGTTCTGGGAAGGAGTTTCTTCCACGATGACAGGAAAGGACTGAATGGAATTTGACCTCAGGGTGTTTCCAAGTGAGAAAGGCAAGGGATTACTTTGTCTGCCCCTTGTTGACCTACATTCATTAGCCCAATGTCTGCCTTTGCCGCACCTGCATAATCCAGAAGGGAGGGTATTCTGTTGGAATTATTCCTTGAAAAAACATTATTTTTAGGAACACCCTGTTTACAGTCCCTTTCTAGGTGACTTTATTTACCACAATTGAAACATTTGACATTACTATTTTTCTTCAAACCTCTGGAAATCACCTCTCCTATCCAAGCTTCATCATGATCATGAAATTCAACATTAATTGTATCTCAGATCTGTTCCTCCAAGGGTGCTGATCTTGCCTTTAGTGGTCTAATTACCCATTTGCATTGTGAATTAGCATTTTCAAAAGCCAAAGATTCAATTAATATTTGTCTAGCTTCTGAATTTAGTATCATTCTATTTACTACTGAAGTCCGTCTTTGTAAGAAATCAGTGAATGTTTCTTTTGGGCCCTGTAAAATGATTCAGTTTTCTTTCCTACTTCTTCAATTCTCTCCCAAGCATTCAAGGCTGCTGTGGGGCATAAAGCTATGGTGTGGTCATCATATAAAGATTGTCTTTGTACATCAGCATAATCACCCTCCCCAAGAAGCTGTTCTTGGCAAATTTCAACACCTCTAGCCCTACTCCATTGTTCAATGGTCTTAGCCTCATCCTTCCACCAGGTCCTCCATTATAATTGGGGACCAGCCTCTAAAACTTCAGTAACCAAATTTCTCCAGTCTTGAGAGATAATTCTATTACAAGTTGACCACAAGTTTAACATCTGCCTCACAAACGGTGAGTGCATGCCATATGGGACTATTGCTTTGAATTTTCCTCAAATCTAACATTTTGCACAGGAGTCCATTCAGCTTACACAGTCTTGGGGATATCTATTATTTGGCAGTTCCTGTCAGGTTACTGGATAGATTAAGGTTGGCTGTTTGAAAACCTTAGGCTCTTTTTCTGTAACATTATAATGCAATGTTGAGATTGGTTCTCCTGTCTGAATATCTCTATGATCTGTTTTAATAAGCTTTTCTAAGACTTGTATCTTGCTTGGCACTCATATCAACCAAATTGGCACTCATATAAACCAACTTTTTTAGGAATAAAATAAGAATGATCAAACCAATAATGTTTATAATTGACATTACATCAATCCCATCTAAGTTAATTATCCTCTCATTTAATTGTTCCATTTTCAAACCATCTAGTGTATTATCAGAGACCAAACTCCTTTCACTGTAGTAGTGCTTCCCATTTTTTTTTACATTTTATAAAATCTTTCATTGATAAATAATTCACATAGTATACAATTTGCCTGTTTGCACAATTTGATAGACTTTAGTCCAGCATCCTCATAGGCCCATGACACCATCACCACTTTTTATTTTAAAACATCGCTGTCTTCAATTTCATACACACATATAAGGTGTAGTGATTACATTCCACCTTATTTTTTTTTAATTTTTTTTATTTTTTAGATTTATTTATTTATTACTTATACAGCATGTATGACTGCAGGCCAGAAGAGGGCACCAGATCTCATTACAGATGGTTGTGAGCCACCATGTGGTTGATGGGAATTGAACTCAGGACCTTTGGAAGAGCAGTCGGTGCTCTTAACCTCTGAGCCATCTCTCTAGTCCCCCTTATTTTTTTTAAATGAACATAATATTTGCAATTGTAACCATTTTTAAGTTCACAATTCAGTGGCATGAATTATATTCAAGATATTAATTGCACTCATGATATTCATTAATTATACTCAGATATTAATTACATTTGTGGTATTCATTGATTACATACACAGTATCCATTCAATAACTATATTTATGATATTCATTAATTACATTAATTGTATTGATTTATTACATTCATGATATTATGTCCTGATACTACTGTCCATTTGTGGGGCTTTTCTATCACACAAAACAGAAATTCTGTACTTAGGAAATCATTGTTCTATATTCCTTTTTCTCCATCTTGAGATAACGTCTAATCTTTCTCTCTCTATGAATTTGTATATTCTATATATTTCATGTAATACAATTCTATAGTATTTGTCCTTTTATTTGAATGTAAAAACATTTTATGTACACTGCAGGAAAAATAATACACAGATAGCTTGAACATAAAAACAGGTTATAATTCAAAAGTCCAGGGTTATTTGAAACTGGAAAATATTTTCTCTGTAGATATTGTAGAAATGATAACATTTCCCGATAAGCCCTTTTAAGCATTTAACAACTCTTGCTGCTCTTGCAGAGGACCAGAGTTCGGTTCCCAGGACCCATGGTAGGTGGCTCACAACTGCTTGTGATGCAGCTTGAGGGGATCCAGTGCCCACTTTGGGCCTCCATAGGCCCTGCATACACATGCACATACACACACAGACACATAGATGAAATTCTTTATTTTTGGCTGCCTCTGGGTTTATAAACTTAGTTTAGGAGTGACATTAGCTCTTATTTAATTTCTACCACGTGTTGCCCCTTAATTATTACTTGTGATATTGTATGATAGTATATGTTTACTTAAATGCTGAGTTCCTAGAATATATATGTACTGATTACGTTTTATTGTCAACTTGATATAGCTAGAGTCACCTGCAAAAAGGGCACCTCAGTTGAGAAAATCCCTATAACAGATTGGCCTGGGGACCAAGTATTCAAATATACACGCCTATGGGGGTCCTTCTTATTCAAACCACCACACCACCCCTAATCGGTTTCGGTCAGAGTGTTTTATTATAGCGGCAGAAAAGCAACTAGAATGATATATTTCTAAGACATTTAATATTTATAGTGCAGATTTTTTTTGCTTTTATTTTATGTAAATGAAATGTCAGTGTATTTATTAATCACCTTTATTTTCTAATTCTTAGCATTGCCTCTAAATTGACTTTGGCTGAGCTAAATCAGGTGCTTTACCGATGTGAATCAGAAGAACAGGAAGATGGTGGAGGATGTTATAACATACCAAACTGGTCATCCCTTAAGTATGCAGGACTTCAAGGTAGGTATAAGGACAAAACTTTGTTTGTTTGTTTTCTTTCTTTCTTTAGTGGTCATCTTCATAGAAATAAGAATATAAGCCTAGAATATGGACACCTGAGTTCAAATTATAACTTATGGCTCCTTGTTGATTGACCATTAGTGAGTAGTATAACATTTCTAACTCCAATTTCTGCCTCACTAAAGTATGAATATTAGAACCAGTCATGTGGTAATGCATGCTTTAATTTTTTTAGATTATTTTATTTTAAGAGTGTGAGTGTTTTGCTTGCATGTATGTATGCATACATGTGCATGCCTTTTGCCTGCAAAAGCTGTAGAAGGTATTAGATTCCCCTATCAGTGGGTGCTAGGTATTTGAGCCCCTAGAATTGGAGTTACAGTAGATTTTTGCCGTGTGGATGCTGGGAACTGAACTCAGATCTTCTGCAAGAGCATCAAGTGGTCTTAACCACTGAGCCACCTCTGGTGTACAGTTATAGTTTCAGTATGTGGGAGGCAGAAGTAGGTGGATCTCCACGAGTTCAATGCCTGCTTGTTCTACATAGTGAGTCCCAGGCCAGCCAGAGCTGTACAGTGAAACCGTGTCTCAAACAAAACAAAACAAAAAAGTATTAATAATAGCCAAGCATGGTGGAACAAGACTGTAATTCCAACTACTCAGAAGGCTGAAACAAGACAGTTGAGAATTTGAGGCCACCTGGGCTATAAGGGGAACCTTGTTTCAAGAGAAAAAAAAAACTGTAAGCAATGTTACTTAATTAAATGAGATCATTCATATAAAATACAATGTGACAAAGTATTCGGTCAGTAAGTGCTCCCTAAAACTGCTAGTTCTGTGTCTTTGCTTAAGGGCATTTATTTCTCTTAAACATTAACCTCAATAAATATTTCTTGTCTTGGTTTATTATGTAACAAGAAACAATATCCTAGACATTGAGTTTTAGACATGTTATGCTACTTTTGAAAAGTCAAGTGAGACTGAGTTGTAAATAAAATATTTAACTGGAAAATTTTTGCTGCGTATTTGCTTTTTCCTATATAGTTAAAATATATAGAGTGTTTATAGAGCTACCATATGAGCCTGATATAAAATGGGGATTTTAACTTAGACTCCACATATGAGAGAAAGCATGCAATATTCTGTGTGAGTCTAACTTATTTCACCTAACGTGATGCTTTCTGGTTCCATGTATTTTTCTTCCAGTGACATAGTTTCCATTGTATGTACTTCCCACTTTTCCTATCTTGGCTCTTGTGAATAGTGCCCCAGTACATGTGCATGTGCCATCTCTGTGGGTGCTGACTTAAGATTCTTTCCATTGTGAACCCAAGAGTGGTGTGTGTCTGGATCATAAGGTATTCTAGTTCTAGTGTTTTCAGGAGGCCCCGCACTGATATTCATATTAACGGTATCAGTTTACGTTCCCATTAGTAATAGCAAGTAAAGGGTTCCCTTCCCCCACCCCCACATCCTTGCCAGCATTTGTTGTTTATTTTCTGTTTGAACTTCATTTTATTGTTATTATTGTGTAAGTATGAGTGTGGGCACATGCATGCCTTTTACCACCTGGTCCATTTCCTGGCCCTGTTGTCTGTTTTCATGAGGACAGCCATTCTGATCAGAATGAGATGGAATTTCAGTGTAATTTTAATTTGCATTTCCATCATGGCTAAGTCTGAGCTTTCTTTAAAGACTACCTTGTAGGCTGGAGCAATGGTTGAGCACTGGCTGTTCTTCAGAAGACCTGGAGCTCAATCCCCAGCACCCACATGGTAGCTCACAGCCATCTGTAGCTCCAGTCTCAGAGGATTGGATGCCACATGCACTGCATACACGTGCTCTACATATTTATATTCAGGGGAATATTCATACACATAATATAAAAATAAATAGTCCAAAAGATATTTTAAGACCACCTTATTTCTTATATCTTCTATACATTCCTTTTTAATTTTTACTTTTGGATAGAGTGTCTCATGTAGCCTAGGCTGGCCCCAAAGACACTATTTTGCTAAGGATAACCTTAAACTCCTGACCCTCCTACCTCTACTCTTAAATGCTGGGATTACATGCATGTATGACCACAGCCAGCTTTATAAAGCCTTTCTTAGTTATTGCTTATCATAGTAATTTCTTTGTCCTCAGAATGACACTTGTATTTATTTACTGTATTTCTTATTAGGTCTTTGGAAAATATTACCTTATGCTGGAAATTAGTCTATTTTGTGCATGTGAATGTTTTCACTGTGGTTAAGAAACAAACCCCAGCTGATGGATCTCTGTGAATCCAAGGCTAGCCTGGTGTACAAGTGAGTTTCAGGACAGAAAAAGCTACATAGTGAGACCCTGTCTTGGAAAAAAAACAAAGACAAGGAGCCAGACTTTAAAACTAGACCCCCTACACTGATCAGCTATATAACCCTGCAGTAGATAAACTCGCCATGGGTCAGTTTCCTTACCATAATCATGGACCACAAGGGGTTGCGATCAGGATTACAACAGCTCATATTCATAAAATACATAGACCTGGTTTCAGGTGACCTATGCCCTCTTCTGGCTTCCCTGGGCACTGTATTCATATACCTCATCTCACACACACACACACACACACACACACACACACACACACACACACACACACACACACACACAAAGACATACATACACATAAATAAAAGAAAATTTTTTAAAGTATGTTACCAGTTTTAAGCTAAAAAGCTCCTTTTCTGTCCTTTTTCTGGTTCTTTGCTAATTCTCTTATATGTTTCATGAAATGACTCAGCTCATTCTTTTTAAATAAAATTGCCCTTATCTGATTTGTTTTTACTTTATGTCAATCATTAACAGTTTGGGCAGCCCAGAGCATTTTCCTAGCCGACTGTTAATAACAGCTGTAAGTTAAATCAGATTCAGCCACTGCGTTGACCATTTTCTGCCTTGAACAAAATTACATTCCCCAGTTCTTACAGTACACTGTGTTCTGTTATTTTGGAATCTAGGAAACTTTTTCATGGTTCTCCTCCAGATTCTCAACAGCCAGTTAGTTATCTGTGATTTCTTATGTTCACTTTGACATACTATATCCTTTTAATCTCCGTAGTTACCATCCAGTGCTTTCTCTAAACCAGCTAGCCAGTTTTCTACCCTCTTGTTACCTCCTGTACAAGCCCTTGCATCCCACTGGTCGCTGTCAGCTCTGTTTTCTGAAACAGTTTTCATTGTCATTCCATAATTCAGCACCAGCTCCAGCAAATGCTGAGCAGCGATCCCCTTCCCTGAAAATACTGGGACATAGGTAGGACGTCTACAATGATATTTAATCTGCCTTGTTATCCATCTTGTTTTGAAAGTTATGTTTCCCAAGGAGAATTATAAACTCCTTGAGGGAAAAAAACCTTACATCTTAAATTCATTGTTTTTAATTTTTCAAAACATGCCACACGTTGTGAAATTCAGTAAATCCTAACTCTAATTTAGTTAAAATGAAGCCAGTAAAGCCAAATACTGTTTTAAGGTAGAAATGATTATTTGACTGGGTGATGAAAGTATAATCATCCTGTAACAAAGTTATAGAATCTGCTGTGAGTATGCATAGGAATACTAATCACTCTAGCGGAGAAGTCTGCATAATAATCATTATATGTCCATTAGCTCAAGTGGTGATTTTGTTTAGTTGTAAGTATTTCCCGTTATATTCCAAAGGCTGCTTCTGAAGCTGTTTCGTTATCATCCTCCATTGGTGGTCTTGCTTCCTCGGAAACCGGTTTTGTGATTTTCTTAATTCTTTTCTAAATATTAGTCTACCACTTACTAACACAGAAATACCCAGGCTTATCCATTTGATGCTTTGGGGTAGAGAAATCATGCCAGTTGCTTTTGAATGTTGCAATATTAAATATAAACAAATGAGTGCAATCCTGAAAGTCCTCCCTCTCTGGAAGCTCTCTCTTGTTCTTGAAGCAGTAGATTCCTTCTGTGGCCTCTGTGGCCTGGATGAAGTATGAACCCTGATTCTTATGTCCAGCCAGGCCAAGTGCCATTGTGGACTGACCAGCCTTTATGTCTGCCTGTATATATGTTCACCCCAAACAATCGGAGACTGACCACAAGCTAAGCAATGAGAACATTTTGACTTTGCCAACAGCGTAATAATGTCTGAATTTTCAGGATTAATGTCCGTGTTGGCAGAAATAAGACCAAAGAATGACTTGGGGCATCCGTTCTGTGAAAATTTGAGGTCTGGAGATTGGATGATTGACTATGTCAGTGGCCGGCTTATTTCACGATCAGGAAATATTGCTGAAGTAAGTAGAATGATATTCTAATCCAAACAATCAAGGGAACATTAATAATTATATGTTACTCTGTTATAGATAGTATTCAAGTTTCCTTGAACTGTTTTCCTTTCTTGATCATCTTTTAGGTTTAAAGAGTGGTCACATGATTAATGGGTTACTGGCTAGCAAAGTTGCATGTGTAGATTCAACTCTTAAAATATACCTAGCCTGGAAACATGCCAAATTAACTTTTAAATTATTTCTATAATAGGTTGGTAAATGGTTGCAGGCTATGTTCTTCTACCTGAAGCAGATTCCACGATACCTTATCCCCTGTTACTTTGATGCTATATTAATTGGTGCATACACCACTCTGCTGGATGTAGCATGGAAGCAGATGTCAAGGTATACCCAACATAACTTGAGTAAATGGGCATAATTGTGTGGAAACTATATAGAGAGAGTTATTTTGTACATGATTTTAAAAGACCAAAGCCTAAGGAACTATCATATCACAGACACCGAGCTGAGAAACCTTTTAGGTAGACAGTAATGTTAGCATCCTTTAGTCTGGAACATGCAATACCAAATGTAGAGTTTGGGTGGGGTTTGTTTTTGTTTTGAGACAGGGTCTCATGTATTGAAAACTTGGAACACACTGTGTAGGCAAGGATGATCTTAGCTTCTGATCCTCCAGCCTCCACTCCCAAATGCTGGAATTATGGGTATGCATCCAGTTTATAAGGCACTGAGTGTCAAACTCAGGGCTTCATGCACACAAGATAAGCACCCTACACACAAACACACACACACCATGAACACATACACAGTAATACAGTTTCAGACATTGGTGGGATGTTTCGGTGTCTAGCTCAGTAGAGCATCATTTGCCTAGCAAGCATAAAGGCCTTGGGTCCAGTCCCCAGCTGGGGATGGGAGGTTAGGGGTGGGATTTAAATCTGGTCTACAAAGCCTGTAAAATATGATATGGAAAAAACAAAATTATTTAATATTATTTGTTTTATTCATTAACTTGTTAAATGACATACACAAAGTATTTTACCATTTTACACATTTCTGTAGAAAAATCACTTGGTAAAAGGACGTGTAATACATTGCTGACAAGGTAGTGTTTCTGCAGATGATCTCTCAACTTGCCACTTGGTTGCAGCTTTGTTCGGAACGGTTCGACCTTCGTGAAACACCTTTCCCTGGGTTCCGTCCAGATGTGTGGAGTGGGGAAGTGCCCTTGTCTGCCTCTTCTGTCTCCCGCGCTCCCGGATGTGCCCTACAGGCTAAACGAGATCACGAAGGAGAAGGAGCAGTGCTGTGTCTCCTTGGCTGCAGGTAAGGACGTTGGAGGCAGTAAATGGTAAAAGCCTGTAGTGTCCAACGAGGAAACCCCGTGGGAGATGATGGTTCCTATGCCACTGCTTAGTAAGCTGCTCACTCATGATAATAATTCTTACTATTTAATTGTAACTATGTACTAGACACTTATGTGTGTTCTTATTGTGGTTGGGTAATCCTTTCTTCTGCAGGTATCTGTTAAATTCCAGTTTGGGGCATTTTAAATATCTATAATTAAATTTTGCTTAATACAGTTTCCCATTTTTCTTTCCTAATTTTGTGTAACGTTACAGTTACCAAACAAAACATGTTAAATGATTTTTTAATCACATGTCTTCATTGTTGTCAAGTACTGTTAGCCATATCTACTGGCACCATCTCCTACAAGTAGGTTTAAAACATCCAAGCAGTAAAACATGCCCAAAGGAAGGCTTTTCTTTTTAATACACTTCCAGTGTGTTTTGAGAAAGCCTCGAGTAGTTGAGGCCACTAAAATTGAGAACTTCACGTTGCTTCTTGGGGTTTGGTAAAGTGAAGTACAAAGTTTACAGCTTTTCAAATTAAACTGAAGTATATAAATACAGCAAAGTGGTAATATCATCTGCATGGATCCCTCTGCTCAGTTTTTCATTGGTTCAGGTCAGATGAAAGACTTTGTGGTGTCCAACAACATGACCTTTCCTTCCTTGACTGTGGTCATAAAAGTCATAAAACTGTCTTAGTGCTAAGGTGGAAAGCAGTGCCTAGTAAGTGCAAGGCCTAAGAGTTCAGTTCCTCGGCATCACACAAAATAGTTTTTAATTAAAAGGAGGAATAAAATAAAGAGTCAGTTTAAATTCTCCAGTTGTGTTTCAGACTTTCATTTGATTGATGGTTCTGGTAGTCATCATTTCCCAAGTCCAAGCAGGTACTGGAACTGGAACAGTGTGGGAAAAACACACCAATGGGGAAAACTCAGGTTTAAAACCCAATTTTTAAAAGCCTATTACGTAAAATAATAACCTCAGCCTTTATGATTGTGCACTGCTACTATTAATTAAATACCCCCAGAATATATGTATTTATTTATAAATCATGTAGTGATAAAATTTGTAACATTTATGTGTAGTCTGTATAACAAATATAAATAAAGGCCCTAGTATTCTAATATTTTAAGGGAGTATTTTGTCTAATTCATACTAGAAAAAAAGTAAAATGATACGCAGATTTCCCACTAAGTTTTGATGGAGTTCATTTTAAAATGGTAATGCCTTCTTTTGTAATCGTATTACAGGAAAAAAATGTAATTAACGTTTATGATAATTGACAGCATAGAAATCACCCCCAGAATACTTGGTCTATAAGTTGTATACTTGTAGAGGACAAAAAAGTAACAAACGAGGCCGGGCGGTGGTGGCGCACGCCTTTAATCCCAGCACTCGGGAGGCAGAGCCAGGCGGATCTCTGTGAGTTCGAGGCCAGCCTGGTCTCCAAAGCGAGTTCCAGGAAAGGCGCAAAGCTACACAGAGAAACCCTGTCTCGAAAAACCAAAAAAAAAAAAAAAGTAACAAACATGTCTACGTATAAGTGCTAAAGGTTTCCCAGCTTTCACTTTTTATAGTTCTTGTTGGGACAGGGACCTACTGTGTAGCCTAGACTGTCCTCAAACTGGAGATACAGCTGCCTGCACCTCCTGAACTTTTGGATTAGAGGTTCAAACCATGATGCCCAGGTCACTTTTCATTTTTAACATCAATAGATTACTGGTATTTTAAGGCATGCTAATTCAGACTCACTCTTGAGTCTGCACATGTTGCATGTAAGATGTTTAGTTACAACAGGGGAAGTCTGTTGTGCTCAGACTTGGTTCTTACACTGTAATCAGTGGCAAAATTTCAGCTCTCTGTCCATTAAATAATTCGTAGTGTGTTTGAGGGTATTTTGTACATCTTTTGGAGACAATGTAAAAAATGTATCTAATGGTGCTTTTAATTCTGTTTACTCTTACTCGGAATTTTCAATTTAGTAATATGTTAGGTCTTTGATTCTATCATCAGAAATTGTTTATATGAAAGCATAAGACTTAAAATTATTTCTTACATAGCTATATATATAGTTATAGTATATATAATACATATATACTGTAGTTTATTAGTATATATACTATATTATATATAACTATATACATATATAGTGTGTGAGGTAAGTATAGCACTATCAGTCTCTATCAGTCTGTTGTAAAATAATGTGAAATTTGGTGATAAACTTTCACTGTAGATAAATTAATAAACATTTAATTAGATATCACTGAACTAATAATTTCATATTTAGATTTATTTATTGCCCTTAAAGCCAGGGCAGAATCTTTTTTTCTTTTTTTTGGTTTTTCGATACAGGGTTTCTCAGTGTAGGTTTGGTGCCTGTCCTGGATCTCGCTTTGTAGACCAGGCTGGCCTAGAACTCACAGAGATCCACCTGGCTCTGCCTCTGAGTACTGGGATTAAAGGTGTGGGCCACCACCGCCGGGCCAGGGCAGAATCTTTTAAAGTATGTATTTAAAGTTGTATTGTGTCATTTTATATGTTAAATATTTGATCTCTAATTTTAAGCTTTTAATTTATTAGATTCAAAGACAAATTGAAATCTGTTTAGGGCTGAGATGTAACTGAGTTGTAGAACTCTTGCTGAACGTTGCCTTTAATCTCCTTTGGGTCACAAGATGCCTTTCAGAGTCAGATAGGACCGTAGAGCCTCATCCCATAAAGGCTGATGTGAAGTGCAGACATACATTTTGCTGTAGAGGATTTTGGAAGGTTTGCAGGCTCCTTCTAATTTGCCCATTAGTCCAAACCTAAAGCGTGTGTGGCTGGAGTCCGTGGAATGGAACGTCATGTTGTGATTGACACGTGACTCTGCTGTCTTTTGCCAGGCTTGCCTCACTTCTCTTCCGGCCTTTTCCGCTGCTGGGGGAGGGACACTTTCATCTCATTCCGAGGGCTGCTGCTGCTTACCGGACGCTACGTAGAAGCCCGGTAAGAGGCTCTGCAGAGCTGCCAAGCCAATCTGCAGCTCCGTGTTCCCTCTCTCCCATCTCCTGTCAACGTTTGCAAAGTACGATTTCCTGAGGTGTTTTTATTTGGTTTGCGTTTGTGTGGGGGAGCACGGGCATGCCATGGTGCACATGTGGGGTCAGAAGACAGCTGGGCTTTCCTCTCCTTCCACCACGTGGGTTCAGCCTGAGGCTGGGAGCAAGCACCTTTACCCACCGAGCCGTCTCACGGCTCCGGGTTCTAAAGTTTTCATTTTCATATGCTCGTTTAATACGTTTAGAGAATTTCAAATGAAAACAACTTTGAAGTTACTAGGTTCCACGATAGGTCAGATCGTCTTCAGTATTTGTGAATTTATCTAAAAAAATTTTTAGAACCATTTTCTGCCTTCGTAAAGAGTATTGTTAGCTGGGCATGGTGGTGCACACCTTTAATCCCAGCACTCAGGAGGCAGAGGCAGGTGGATCTCTGTGAGTTCGAGGCCAGCCTGGTCTACAAAGTGAGTTCCAGGACAGTCATGGTTGCATACCTTGTCTCAAAAAAAAAAGAAAAAGAAAAAGAAAAGAATAAATATACAAATAGTTATAATACCCACATAAAGGTTAATGACTTCACAAAGTTGTCCTTAGACCTCAACACATATACTGTGGCACAAATATGCACATAAACACGCACACACCCACAATAATAATAATTATTATAATAATAATAATAATACTTCTGAAAATTTCGGGAACTGGAGAGATGGTTCAGTACTTAAGAGCTGGCTGCTCTTCCAGAGGACCCATGTTTGATTCTTAGCAAACACATGGCATTCTTGGCAAACCGTCTGTAACTCCATTTCCAGGGGATGGACACCCTCTGCCTCAGCCAGCACCGCTCCAGGCAGACTGACATAGACACAGGCAGAACAGCACACACACACACACACACAATAGTAAAATGTCTGGAAATGTACTCTGGAGGGTGGTTTGCTTGCCTGCCAGATCCCCTATGTCCATGGTTTAAGAGTCTGGTATAAAGATTCAGGATTCAGCAACATACAGTGGCAAGGACCTTTGCCTGTGGTGTGGTGAGCCCCTAATGCTGGTTCAGACCACCGACAAATGGCATCCTCCCTTCATGCTTTCTGTGGGCTGGTCGGAGTACTCACCTCCTGCATTAGATGACTCATGCAGTTAAAATACCCAAAAGGCTCTCTGCCACATGAGAAACACTCCATCATTGCTATAATGGTCCCCATCATCGGTTATCACTTCTGTGTGCTGTTACAAATTTCTGTCTCTTCATTTTACATTCAGCCATCTAGATCCCACATTGTCATATTGTGGTCCATCACGTTTTGTGTGGCTATAAACAAAACTAGAATAAAGGCTTCCTATGGCTCTATTAAAAGATAAGTGTTAGCAGGGAGTGGTGGTGTATGCCTTTAATCCCAGCACCCAAGACAGAGGCCAGCCTGGGCTACAGAGTGAGTTCAGGACAGCCAGGGCTACACAGAGAAACCCTGTCTCAGAAAACAATAATCAAAACAAAAGAGGGGGGGATAAGTGTTAAGCTGAGACATAATAAGGCCTAGCCTTCTCCAGTTACCTTTGGTAGTTAGACCTCACAGGCTAGATACAAGCTCTTCCTGAGTGCAACTCCATCTTACAAGCTCAGTTCTCGTTTGTACTGAAATAATACCAAAGAAGATAAACTCTCATTTTTCACCTATTAATGTGAGTTATAGTTGACTTTTGCTGTTGTTGTTTTGGGGTTTTGTTTTATTTGTTTCTTTGTTTTAAAACAGGCTCTTACCATGTAGCCCTAAACAGCCTATAACTCAGTGTGTAGGCCAGCTGTCCTGGGATTCAGAGATCTTCCTACATCTGCCTTCTGTGTACTGGGATGAATTATAGTTTTTAAGGCCAGTTTCTGTTCATTTGTTTTCTTACATAATTACTTTGTTCCTGATATCTGCTATTTAAAGTAATAAAGTAATTAGAGGATTACTTCTATATGAAAATAACAGATTTTAAAAACAGAAGTTAGGGGCTGGAGAGACGGCTTAGTGGCTAACGGCACTCACGGCTCCTGAAGAGTTCAGTCCCAGCACTCACATGGCAGCTCCCAACCATCTTAACTCTAGTTCCAGGGGATCCAGCACACTTCTCACTGTGTGGGCTCCATACACATGTGGTACACATATGTACATACAGGCAAACACAGATAACAAAAATAAATATATCTTTTTTAAAAATAGAAGTTAAAGCTATGGCAGTCCTTGTCAATCCCAACTGGGAACCTGACTCCAAAGATGAAAAACTTGTTAAGGAAAGGGAAAGTTCCCCAGAACACCAGAGAGACAAGCTAGGCTGCGAGCTGGGGCATCTCCCAGACCCCAAAAAAGTGACCTTTTTCTTTTTCTTCAATTGTATAACTGTTTTCATAGCAAATGATCCATTTATTTCTGTTGTTTTAGGAATATTATTTTATCATTTGCTGGTACCCTGAGGCACGGTCTTATTCCTAACCTCCTGGGTGAAGGAACCTATGCCAGGTACAACTGTCGGGATGCCGTGTGGTGGTGGCTGCAGTGTATTCAGGACTATTGTAATATGGTTCCAAATGGTCTAGACATCCTCAAATGCCCAGTTTCCAGAATGTATCCAACGGACGATTCTGCACCTTTGCCTGCTGGGACACTGGTAAAGATCACTTCTTTTTTTTTTTTTTTTTTTTTTTTTTAAAGATTTATTTATTTATTATGTATACAGTGTTCGCCTGCATGTATCCCTGTAGGCTCAAAGAGGGAACCAGATCTCATTACAGATGGTTTTCAGCCACCATGTGGTTGCTGGGAATTGAACTCAGGACCTTTGGAAGAACAGCCGGTGCTCTTAACCTCTGAGCCATCTCTCCAGCCCCAAGATCACTTCTTAATACAGTCTTTAATGAAATGTAACTTTATTTTTTAATGTAAAATATTAAGAATCCAAGTCATAAGAATGCAAATATCAAGAAGAATTCAGTATCAGTCTTTATTTAGTGTTGACACTGTGAGAAGTCACCGAGGTAAGACTTGCTCCTTGGTGAAACACACACAGCGTGGGAGCATGGGAGCTGCTGCTTTTCCCAGCCCCACCCCATTCCTTACTTCCTCCTCTAGGAAAGTATATAACCAGTAATCTATCTATTACTAGAGTTGAGGGATTTAGGGGAAAATAAGAGTGTAATCCATTTCTAACAGAGGAAGCATTCTTGCTGTCTCCAACAGGATCAACCATTGTTTGAAGTAATACAGGAAGCTATGCAAAGGCACATGCAGGGCATTCAGTTCCGAGAGAGGAATGCTGGTCCACAGATAGACCGGAACATGAAAGATGAGGGTATGTAATCAAAGCCATGGTTAAGACTTACTGGTGCCGTCCAATTAAACCTTGCAGTTGCTTTACAAATACTCGTGTGCAAAACCTGAAACTTTGCCTAAGAAAGGCAGACACTGTTCCTGAACTCTCCAGCCTGTGTTGCTAAAGAAAAGATAAAAGTTTGCATCTTTTGTCAGGCAATTTTCAAGATAATATTGGCATTATAATTTATTTTGTGTGTGTGTGTGTGTGTGTGTGTGTGAGAGAGAGAGAGAGAGAGAGAGAGAGAGAGAGAGAGAGAGAGAGAGAGAGAGAGAGAGAGAGTGAGAGAGAGAATTTTTTACCTGCAAGTATCTATGTGTACCATGTACATGCCTGGTGCCTCCAGAGGTCAGAAGAGAGCTGCAGAGCCCCTGGAACTGGAGAAAGGGATGGTTTTGAACCACTGGGAATGGAGTCTGGGTCCTCCACAAGAGCGACAGGTGTTCTTAACTGCTGAACCATCTCTCCAGCCCCTGGTGTTACAATTTATAATCACAATGTTAGGATTACTTTTTCTGCCAGTTATGGTGGCACATGCCTGTAATCCAGCACTCAGGAGGTTGAGACATGACTGTCATGAGTTCAAGGCTATCCTGGGCTGCATAGTGAAACCTTGTCTCAAAAACATAAACAGGAAGCCCAGTATGGTGAGGAATGTCTCTAATCCCGGCTCAGAAGACAGAGCTACAGAGTGAGTTCCAGATCAGCCTGGGCTGTATACAGAGAAACCTTGTCACAAAACTAAATAAATAAATAAACAAACATAAGAAGGAAGAAAAAAATTATAATCCCGTGAATTGAGTGTTATGTGTCAGGTATTATGATGATGTCTTTACCAATGTCAATCCTTAACTCCTGAAGACATTAAGAGTAAATTACACTGGGCTTGAGGGAGGGCTCAGCAGTTGAAATGCATGGAGAAGAAGCGAGAGATTGACTTCAGATCTCCAGAACCTATGTGAGTGCCGGGTGAGCCTGATAGTAATGTAGCCTCCAAAGGCAGAGGCATGGTGTCTCTAAACAAGTAAGGCAGCTTGTGAGACCAGCATACCTTCCTGGGAGCTTGGTCAGCTTGAGAGACCCTGACTGTACAAAGGTAGAAGGGGGAGCAAGGAGGATTTGACATTAACTACACACACTTGGGCCTACACACACTTGCACATGTGTGTGTGTTCCCCAGCACACACATGGGAACACATGCATGCACTCTACACATAGAGACACCATTTGTTTTTAACTAAAAGAATACATTACATTACTCCCATTTTTATGAAATGAGAGGACTGGAAAGTTGGCTTCCCAGAGCTGCTGGGGGCAGAGGAAGGATGTCAGCCATGTTTGCCTCTGTAGACCAGGCTGGCCCCAGCACCTCTGCAGTGCTGTGTCTGTACATCGAGTTAAAGTAGTTACAGCTCCTAACTCACTTAGCCCAAGGCCAGCCAGTACCAGGCTGATGATCTCATTTCCCCTCACTCCTACTCACTTTGGGAATGGTTTTGATGACTCTGGTGTATATTTACTTTAGTCTTACAAATATGATTTATGTGAGTTTTTAATTATAATTTAAAAAGAATTACAGATCCATAAAAAGTTGTAAAAGTGATCCATAGGATACAGCAAACCCTTCCTCAAGTTAGGGTGTCTTAATGTAACTGAAGTAAAATCTCAGAACCAAGAAGTGCAGTATGATACTGCAGGCTAGACTGTAGACCCCACTCATTTTCCACCTCTTCTCACATTAACTCCTGGGGGTGTGGATTCATGAAACCACCACCATATAAAGATGTAGACCTAGTCCATCACCACACACATTTTTCTGTATCCCACATACCCACTCCAGCTCCACCCATGTCTCTCTACTAATCTCTGCCTCCCTACACTGCATATTTATAAACTCATTGTTTGTTTGTTTCAAGACTGATCTCTCTATGTAGCTCTGAGTGTCCTGGGACTCACATGTAGACCAGGCTAGTCTTGAACTCACAGTGATTGTCTGCCTCAACCTCCTGAGTGCTGGGATTAAAAGTCTGGGCCATATACCTGGCTTTGAAAATATTATATAAATTGAATATTCAGTATGTAACTTTTGACTCACCAAGACAGGATCTTGCTATGATGCCTTAGCTAGCCTAGAACTTGCTATGTAGACCAGGCTAGCCTCAAACTCATGATGATTTATTATGTATAGTAGTAATACACAAATGTTTACCTAAGTTAACTGTTAAGAATTACTGATACATTCTTATCCTTCACTAAGAGAAGTCAGTGAAAATAGGTTTAGGATCCAAAGAACATTTTCATGGTATCTCTGAGACATTTTAGGGTTTTGTTGTTGTTGTTGTTAAACATTTCAACTTTTAAACATTTCAACTTTTAAACATTTAAAGCATTTTAAACATTTCAACTTTTAAACATTTCAACAAGTAAGCAAAATAATTTTTTCCTTTGAATCCTGCATTGAAATGAAATATATTAATATTTTACTCTATTTTCTTTTTTGTTTTGTTGTTGTTGTTTGGTTTAGTTTTAGGTTTTGCTTGTTTGTTTGACTGATTGTTTCTTTTTGGGCAGAGTTTCATTATGTAGCCCTGGCTGTCCTGAAACTCACTGTGTAGACCAGACTGGCCTCAAATTCACAGAGATCTACCTGCCTCTGCCTCCCCAGTGCTGAGATTAAAGGCCCAGCTTTAAAAAAGATTTTTTATATGTAACCTTTTGTAACTTCTTTACTAAACCATTTTGTCTTAGGAACTCATCAGTTTGTTCCATATGCATCCAGTTTGTTAAGACAGAGCATTTCCTAGTGTATACACATTAAGCCATTCTTCTACTAAGTGGTGACCTATGATTTTGCTAATGTAAGCAGTACTTTAGAATGAACATCATGATATGCAGTTCCATGTACACACTTGTTTTTTGAAAGAGAAATGAAATGTGTGTGTATTTACTATCATACAACGTAATGATTTTTAGTTCTTTGTTGTTGTTTTAAAGGGAGTCTCACTATGTAGGTAGGCTTACCTAGCTTCAAGCTCACTGTATCAGCCAACTTCAAACTCAGGTGTGACCCTCCTGTGTCGACTTCCGTCGACCTGTGCACGTCTCCTCTATTGGAGCTGGGATCTGAGGACCTGAAAGAATGGGGCAGACTACAGGCTAATGCTGTAGGCAACCTTATTTCCGTTTCTGTGTGCTTTTATACACAAATGTAACAAAGCAATGATCCAAGGAAAGTTGTTTGAGTTCAGAATAACATGTAAATAAATGTCAATAAGCTCATACTAAATATGAACAGAGCAGCCCTTTCCCAGGACTTTCTCAGGACAGACCAATTTAAACACAATTGGCTGGCACACACGACAGACTATATCTAGGAAAGCATGAGAGTATGGCCGAGGCCGTATCCAGATTCATGTATGCTGACCAGATTGGGTTCCAGAGCTATGTTCTGACATCCAACAGGAATAAACATATAAACTGAATGTAAATGTTTGTCCCAGGAAGCATGAAACCACATCCAAGAACACCCCAGGGAACAAGGTCCAAGGCCCTCCGCCTTTCTCCTGGAGCCTCTCTCACAGTTGCCCAAGGCGTTGTTCACCACACGTCATTCCTCCGACCGTGTTCTGACACACCTGCCTCCGCCTCCTGAGTGCTCCCATTGCAGACCTGTGCCGCCATGCCTGTTTTATAAGTGGCTTATTTTGCCTTTTTAGGTTTCAATATAACTGCAGGGGTTGATGAGGAAACGGGATTTGTCTATGGAGGAAATCGCTTCAACTGTGGCACATGGATGGATAAAATGGGAGAAAGTGACCGAGCTAGAAACAGAGGAATCCCAGCCACCCCAAGGTAGTTCATTTTACGATGCTTCCATACTTACTCATGGAGTCTTTTGTTCTGCTAACCATGATCTGCACAGTAAACAGTCCAGATCTGTCATCCTTTCTCCTCCACTCAGCCCTTCCTTTCCCCCTGATACTGATTAACAGCCCTCTTGTTCTAAGTCCTCAAGGAAAGTGATCTGTTCTCATCCAGGAGACCTCAGGGGGTTTGTACCTCTACAAGAATCTCAAACATTTTATAATTCATTATCCCGGTGGTTAAGACATTTTCTTTAAAATTAAAAAAAAATTGTTACAATTATCTGTGGAGTGTGTGGAGGTGGGGGTTGTGTACATGCCACAGCACATGAGGAGGTCAGAGGACAACTTGTAGGAGGAGTCAGTTCTCTCACCCCACCATGTGGTTCTCAGGTCATCAGACTTGGCAGCAAGGGCCTTTACCTGCTAAGCCATCTCTCCATCCCTGGTTAAGACATTTCTTAATCTGAACTTTGTACAATGTAAAGATTCTATTACTCCTACCTATCTTTACAAGTATAGAAAACATCTAGTTGAAATTGATCTTTTAAAAATGTTTTTTAGCTGGGCGGTGGTGGCACACACCTTTAATCCCAGCACTCGGGAGGCAGAGGCAGGTGGATCTCTGTGAGTTCGAGGCCAGCCTAGTCTCCAGAATGAGTTCCAGGACAGCTAAGGTAGTTACAAAAAGAAATCCTGTCTCAGAAAAGAAAGTTTTTATTTTCAGAACCTTTTATCTCTAACTTTGTTATTTAAGAGGTTTTCATTGTGGTTTCAGAAGTTGTGAACACCTATCAGAAGTTCTAGATACTGAATGAAGCTCAGAAACTATTTTCTACTTGAAGCCAGAAGAGAGCATCAGATTCTCCTGAACTGGAATTACAGGCACTTGTGAGCTGCCCACTGTGGGTGCTGAGAACTGAACCACGGTTGTTTGAAAGAGCAGTATTTGCTCATAATAGATGAGCCATCTCTCCAGCCCAGAAGCTATCTTCATAGCAAAGATTTTTATCTTCAAACAGATCAGCCAGAATAAATAAAAAGACCCTGTCTCAAAAATAAATAAATACGTTTTATGTATATGCATGTGTGTTAGGAGGGGATGGAGAGATGCTAGCTCTGTAGAGAGCTTGCTGCTGTTCTGCAGGCTCAGTTCCTAGCACTCATGACCAGAGGCTCACAACCAAATGTAACAGCAGGTCCAGGAGATCCAACCAACACTCATGGACTCTGGGGGCACCCACACATGTAGCACATACCCATAAAGACACATATAGACGCAAAATAAAAATATAAATGTCTCTTTTAAAATGTTAGGAACATAAGCAGTACTATAATAGTAAGGGAAGAGATTTCTTATGTGATATAATACATGTTACTTATACAGTGAAGATGTGGGGACAGATGGTTGCTTGTATGATGCACTGGTTATAATATTCACCAACATTTATGGTGGTGGTTGGGTTTGGTTGGGTTTGGTTTGGTTGGGTTTGGTTTGGTTCTATGTTGCCCCCAGAGAATTCCTTACTGCTAGACAAACATTGTACCACTAAGCTACATCCCCAACCCAAAATTACTTACTGAATGCCCCTTTAAATAATGGTTAAATAAGTTCAACATAGAAAATGAGTCTTTTTCATTTCAGAGACGGGTCTGCTGTGGAAATCGTGGGCATGTGTAAATCTGCTGTTCGCTGGTTGCTGGAATTGTCCAGGAGAAATATTTTCCCTTATAATGAAGTGAGAGTGAGAAGACATGGTAAGCTGTTCTGTTTTACAAGGAACTGTACAAGGTATTGACCTTTGTTTCCATCACTGGATCGAAGATGCAAAATTTTAAGAAGAAAGAAAAATCATTAATTTACCAATGTGGAAATTATAACCAAGCTGGTCACTAGAGCCCCACTGACCTGGGAGGAAGGTGGCAGGATGCTTGTATAACCAAGCTGGTCACTAGAGCCCCACTGACCTGGGAAGAAGGTGGCAGGGTGCTTGCCCTATTGCACTTTCCCTTTCCCTCACTTGGTGAGCAAGTTACATCCTGTGAACAGTCTGGAAATCTTTACATCTCTTTCTGGAACAATTTCTATGCAATAGAAATAATGTCTGAGCTACCCATACAACATTAAACTTTCTAAAAAGTAAAACGAAGTAGGTAAAGTTAATTGTATTTTTGATTCAATGTATGTGAAATGTTGTTCCACATGTCATGAATATGAAGTTATTCCTGAGCCATTTTATATTCTTTTTAGGAGAGGTGCCCGGTCTTTGAATTTATAGCATATCTCCCTCCAGAGTAGCCACATACATGATTTGTTTCATAAGTAAGCTAACTATGAGTTTGGGCAATAGCAGATATTAGAGATGAACTAAATGTCTACAACTGCCATGTCTTACTGCTTTTCAGGAAAAATTGTAACAGTCTCATATGATGAGTGGAACAGAAAAATACAGAACAGCTTTGAAAAGCTGTTTCATGTTTCTGAAGACCCTTCAGACCCTAATGAGAAGCATCCGAATCTGGTTCACAAACGTGGCATCTACAAGGACAGCTATGGAGCATCAAGTCCTTGGTGTGACTATCAGCTCAGGCCTAATTTTACCATAGCAATGGTCGTGGTAGGTGATGTATTACTCTCAAACTTTAGAAATATCATGACACCTTTACTAAGGGACTGTTTTCCCTTCCGTTAAGCTCCACTTCACCATAAAAAGTACTGTTTTCCGGATAATTTTATATAGTTTCAGGAATTAGTTATGCATATGACCTCTGATCTGTAACATTTAGTGTCAAAAACAGAAAACAGTGGATGATGAGAAACAAAACACTTCCCAGTGTTTCTGCGTACCACAGTACATGTCCTGTGGCACACCAGGGCTGAATGTTTAGGCTGCTTCGGCCAGATCAGCGGCTTCAGGTAGCCTCAGCCCTCGCCCTTTCCTCCTAAACGCTGCGGGTATCTGTATTGCACAAGCTGGTGCCACAAACAGCTTCCCAGTGCACCAGTGGGAAAGTTCTGCACGGGCCCCTTATAGTCACATTCTGTCTCCTTTGCATTGTCCTCTAATTAGTTCTATTTGGGTAAGAATGTTTTACATTACTTTATTTATTTACTTGGTATTATATAGTATTACTTATTATAAATTATTATAAAAATTTATTTAACTATTTTACTATTTTGGGATGTGTGTTTTACCTGCAGTAAATCTGTGTACCATGTATATGCAATACCCCAAGAGGCCAGAAGAGGGCATCAGATCCCCTAAGCCTGGAGTTAAACAGTTGTGAGTCACCATGTGTATGCTGGGAATCAAACATGTGTCCTCTGGAAGGGCAGCCAGTGCTCTTAACCACTGGGCCATCTCTCCAGCCATCTAGCTAAGAATTCTTGATTCTCTTTTGTTGTTAAATCTCAGTCTAAAAAGAAAGCCTTAAGGGCAGTGGACTAGGAAAGCTTTGTGTTTATCCGTGCCTCCCTAGGTATTTGACTGTGAAAAAGATTACTAAGTGGAATATTACTGATTATAGTGGTATGGCAGTGTAAACTTGCACAGAGGTGGCTTTGGTTTGGTTCATTTTTCACTTCATTTCACTATTAAAGTGGATGCAGATTTTTTTCCCCTTCCACATATCATAAGAAAGTACTTACACTGTTGGAATACAAGATCTTCTGAATTATTATGGCCAAGAAGAGAGGGGAGAGGTTCAAGTACTTTGTTTTGTTTTTGTTTTTGTTTTTAGAGACAGGGTTTCTCTGTGGAACAGCCCTGGCTGTCCTGGAACTTACTTTGTAGACCAGGATGGCCTCAAACTCACAGAGATTTGCCTGCCTCTGCCTCCTGAGTGTTGGGATTAAAGATGAGTGCCACTATTGCCTGACAGTTCAAGTACTCCTAAAGGGGGCTTCTGCAAATAAAGTGATGGGTTGAGGTGATCTCTGCCTTTGTGGTAGCTATGGTTACCTTTGGGATCTGGTACTCCTTGCAGTGCCCCGAGGGAATGGTCACTTTGTGAGCTTTCCCAGCTTCTCGGGCTGAGAAAGGCAGTATGGATTCAGCCTTGGAGGATTAGATTTGTCTGGTATCCATTCTCAAATTCTGACCCACACCAGTTCTTAAATTTTTTCTTTTCAAAGTTTATAGTTAACTTATATAGGTAAGAACTAATTTTCTGTGACATTAAAATGTTTGTTTATTTGTTTGTTTGTTTGTTTGTTTTACCTTCATCAGGCCCCTGAGCTCTTTACTGCTGAAAAAGCTTGGAAGGCTTTGGAAATTGCAGAAAAAAAATTGCTTGGTCCCCTTGGCATGAAAACTTTAGATCCAGAGTAAGTTGGAATATAAGTATTAAGAAGGCTGTTGATATTGTGTTTAATCCACATAGATTAATGTTAACCATTTTGTACTTATTTACAAATAACTTCTCAAAAAACGCACTCAAACTTGTAGCTGGAGTTTTCTCTCTAGGTCCTGTCAAGCCCTGGCAGTCCGACAGCCCACTTATAAAATAAACACACAGACGCTTATATTATTTACAAACTGTATGGCTGTGGCAGGCTTCTTGCTAACTGTTCTTATATCTTAAATTAACCCATTTCGCCGGGCGTTGGTGGCGCACGCCTTTAATCCCAGCACTCGGGAGGCAGAGCCAGGCGGATCTCTGTGAGTTCGAGGCCAGCCTGGGCTACCAAGTGAGTTCCAGGAAAGGCGCAAAGCTACACAGAGAAACCCTGTCTCGAAAAAACAAACAAACAAACAAAAAAAATTAACCCATTTCTATAAATCTATACCTTGCCACGTGGCTCGTGGCTTACCGGCATCTTCACATGCTGTTTGTCATGGCGGCAGCTGGCAGTGTCTCCCTGATTCAGCCTTCCACTTCCCAGAATTCTCCTCTCTCCTTATCCCACCTATACTTCCTGCCTGGCCACTGGCCAATCAGTTTTTATTTATATAGAACGACATCCACAGCACAAACTTTTGAAAACATCTGCCCCTTTGTTTTTGTGTATTAAACGTGCTTCTGGTTTCTCCTATATTCACTAATTAACTTACAAAGTTTAAATGTATAAAAGTAATGTCATGAATAGTTTTTCTTTTCTGACTGTAAAATTAATACATGATTGTTGTAAACGTTAAAAAGTACCAACAATGTATAAAGAAAAAGAAGTTACTTTGAATCCCTTTATCCAAGAATCAAGCATCATTCCCCTGTTGTCTATTACTCAAGTCATTTCTCCTCATTTTTGTGCAGTTTGTGTCCATATAATCACAAATCCAGGAGAAATTCCCAGCACCCACATGGTGACTCACAACAGTCTGTAACTCCAAGCTCAGGGGAATCTGATGCCCTCTTCTGGCCTGGGGAGGAGGTGGTGGTATTGCAGAAGACTCAGGCTTGGTGCCTCACATCTGAGTCTTAGCACTGGGGAGTCTGAAGCAAGGTGATCACAAGTTCAGAGTCAGTCTGGACTGCTAGCCAGGCCCTGTCTCAAGAAACAAAACTAAGTATGGAGGTTCAGTACAGTGATACCAGCACCTGGAAACTTAACAAGAGGGGTTGCTGATTAATCCAGGCCAGCTTGGGCCACATGAGTTCCAGCTACCTAAGTTTGTCTAAAGAGTAACAAAAGCAAGTTTGTCTAGAAAGAAGAAACAAAGAGAAAAAAAAAATCTTCTAGGGATGTAGCTCACTGGTGGACATTAGCCTAGTGTGTGGGAGGGGCCCTGGATTCAGTTCCCAGCACCACTGTCAAAAAAAAAGTTTCACAAGTTCAATTCTCAAGACAACAAAAATAAATGATTTTAAAAATAGCTCTTGAACCCAGCATGATGACGCTTACCTGTACGCAGGACCATTGGGAGTTCACAATCATCTTCCACTGTGTAACCAGGTGGAGACCAGCCTGGCCACAGGAGAGCCTGTCTTAGGAGCTCAATGGTAGAGCACATGCCTACGTCACACAAGACCCTGGGCTAAGACCCCAGCACCACACCCTGCAATTAAAGGCCATCTTTTTTTTTTTCTTTTTTTAATGTGTATGAGTGTTTTGCCTTTATATATGTCTGTGTGCCACATGCACGTCTGGTGACCTTGGAGGCCAGAAGAGGGCATGGAATTCCCTGGAACTGGAGTTACAGATAGTTGTGAACCACCATGTGAGTGCTGGAGTTGAACCCAGGTCCTCTGCAAGAGCAACAAGCACTCTTAGCTGCTGAGCCGTCTCTCCAGGCGCTCAGCGACAGTATCTGGGTTTGGTTTTGGTGATAGTTCCTTCCACACTGCTGAATAACGTGCGATGATAGAAGAAAGCTTAACGGTGTTCTTTACCAGCAGTCTTTCTGTGTAACTACACTACTCTTTTTACTTAAATCAGCAAATAGCTTTGTTTTTAGTTTACAGTTTGCATATGCAAATGTCTTTACTTTTATCAATTAAATTTCTAATGGCCTTTCTGGGTTTGGGGGGTTTGTTTTTGTTTCTTTTATGTATATGGGTGTTTTGTGTGTGTGTGTACCACCACACCAAGGTCTTTTTGTTTTTTGAGACAGAATCTTACACAGCTGAAGCCGACCTTGAACTACTGATCCTCCTATCTTAACCTCCCAAGTTCCACCATGCTTGGCTTGATTTCATCCTTTATGTGCAAAATTTTTTATGCAAATACTTTTCATTTTCTGTATGCTTACATATTCAGAGCAGATTAAAAACTGGTCAGGCGTACACACACTGGAAGATTTCTGTGAGTTCAAAGCCAGCTTGATCTATTGGGAAAGTTCCAGGTAAACCAAGGTTACACAATGAGACCCTGTTTCAAACTCCTGTTCCCAAAAAACAAACACAAAACCTGCTGATCAGAAGTAAGGGTTATGGTAAAAGCACATGTGGACATTTTGGATCACTAAACAGGACTTTAAAAGTAACAATTTAATTAAATCTCAATATGCATAACTCATCTGTTGGCAGTGTTTGTAACACTGTTCAGTGTATAACTATGTTATACATTCTGTATCTTATAGCAGTATGTATATTTGATTGTTATTTATAATCCGACAGTATGCTAATTTTAGTTTTTAATAAAATAGACCCTTGCATGGACTAAGGATGTAGCTAAGTGGTAGGATGTTTGTCTAGCACAGATAAGACGCTAGGTTTGATCAATAGGTATCACAAGATAAATGATTTACATAGATAAATGAATGGCTTTCTGCTCTATAATCAGTGAAACCTTATCTTTAATGTTTTACTGATTCAAATAACTGTATGGACATTTTAAATGTTACACATATCTGCCTGCCTCTGCCTCCCAAGTACTGGGATTAAAGGTGTGCACCACCACTGCCCAGTGTGATACACATATTAAAAGCCTAGTGAAATGGTTAAACTATACATTAGCTCCTTGAAGACAAGATGCCTCAATATTTTTTATTATTTTTTAAATTAGCATGCAAATTAATAGGTATGATTATGGCATTTTTCCTGCATATTTCTGTGAATCCTCCTCTCCCATTTCCCTGACCACCTGTTAGTCTTTTTCTTTCCTTCCGTTTTTCCTTTTTCATACTCCTTCCTCTAGTATCATAACCAACAACTGTATATAAATTAACATCTGGGCTCTAAATATGAAGGAGAACATAAGGACACTTGACTTTTTGGTTAACCTTTCCTGAACACATTATTGAAGCTCTCTGGACTCAGTATATACTAATTTTGTGTTACGTAAGCTGAGTGAGCTCGCTCCGTAGATGGAGAGGGAAGGTGATGATTGTCCTTGCCTTTGCCTGTTGAAATTCTGATGCCTCCTCTGATGCCTGACCGTTGCTGACCTCAGACTCCGATCATTTTGCAGTGATCTGGTTTACTGTGGAGTTTATGATAATGACCTAGACAATGACAACTACAATCTCGCTAAAGGTTTCAATTACCACCAAGGACCTGTAAGAACTTCTTTTCTCTTTTCAGTTTTCAATTGAAGTTGGTTTTGAAATAAATTTAGATACTCATAATTCTTTTTTCCCCTTTTTTTTAACATCATATTTTAGGAGTGGCTGTGGCCTATTGGGTATTTTCTTCGTGCAAAGTTGTATTTTTCCAAATTGATGGGCCCAGAGATTGCTGCGAAGACTGTATTTTTGGTTAAAAATGTCCTTTCCAGACATTATGTTCATCTTGAGAGGTAAGTTATTGCATGACTAATGTCCAGTCAGCGTGTTAGATATCCCGTAAAGAGCTTTCCTCAGAGTTCCTTTCTCAGGCTGTGTGCATCTGCACTTTAACTCAACCTGTAGTTTTTACCTCCCTTAAGTATTTTGGTTTTAATCTGAGGATCTTGTATTTTATGATCTGTACTTGTGGAATAGTCTTTAATTGTCAAGGCAACTGATAATTCGGATATGATTAAGATACATAAAAATACTTGGAAGTATTCAGGTTGGGTCTTTTGAGGTGATTCATCAATAGTTTTCATTATCCTTAGAGTATCAGTTGGTCTTTTGACTGTTATTTCATATTTTTTGTTGTTGTTGTTGTTGTTGTTGTTTGGGGGGGGGGGTCAAGACAGGGTTTCTCTATGTAGTTTTGGTGCCTGTCCTGGATCTCACTCTGTAGACCAGACTGGCCTCGAACTCACAAAGATTCACCTGGCTCTGCCTCCCGAGTGCTGGGATTAAAGGCATGCGCCACCGCCGCCTGGCTTCAAATGGTATTTCTTATATATACTCTTTGTCCTGATGATTGGTAAATTAAGCAGAGTCAATGCTGTGTATTTTTCTAAGATGGTGCAAACCCAGCCAAAGTCTACCCTAATACTCTATATCTAGATCATGCCTTAGTGTGTCTCCTTCTAATTACGTAGACTAAATGTGTAAGGGCCACACTGCCTCTGCTTCCTTACAGAGCATCAGTTAGATGCACGAACAGTCTGTGTGGTGGTGCTGAGATCTGTCACTAGTTATGTGACTTCTGTACATCCCTCTTCTCTCTTCAAATGAGGCAGTAGTTACAGCACTTATCTCATGGGATTGCTGTCAGTATTTACTGTACAAAACGGACTAAGTATTCGAGAATAAGTATGTCTTTAATTGGCTTGGTGTCCTGTAGAATAAGGAACTAATTGGAATTATAACTCTTGGTGTCTCTATATTATTCATTTAGTTTTCTAGTTCTATATAGTTCACACATAATACACTTACATATTTACAGTTTGAGTCATAAACTTATTCTGAAAGACTGAAATTATTGCCAGCCTGGGGGCATCTGCCTGTAAATTCAGCACATGGGAAAACAAAACAGGAAGATCATGAGTTCAGAGCCACATGAGACCCTATCTCAAAACGCAAAAAAGGCTAAAACTGCCTGAGAGGATATCTATATCTACATTTATATATTTTCTGGAATGATAGCCTTTTTCCTAAGTTTTAATCATTAAACTGGGTGAAACACACCTGTGGTTCCAGCACTTGGAAGGCAGAGACAGGATTACTTCAATTTCAAGTCCAGCCTCAGCTACATAACAAGTTCCAAGCCAACGAGGGTTACACAAGACCCTAGCTCAGAAAACAAAAACATAATAATAATAAGATGAAAGATTCATTTGTATTTGCTAGTATTAAATCACAAAATAGAATATATCAAAAGATGATTTACATATAAATTCTTGTTATATATACCTTTAGAATATTGTTTATTTTGTAACAAATGACTCTGAATGATGCTTCCATAGTAAAAGGCAAAAATCATCAGGACTTGCATACTTTGCTCATATGCATTAAATTATGCCTCATAAAATGCTTTTCTTGCCGGGCGGTGGTGGCGCATGCCTTTAATCCCAGCACTCTGGAGGCAGAGCCAGGCGGATCTCTGTGAGTTCGAGGCCAGCCTGGACTACCAAGTGAGTTCCAGGAAAGGCGCAAAGCTACACAGAGAAACCCTGTCTCAAAAAACCAAAAAAAAAAAAAAAAAAATGCTTTTCTTTCTTTTTCCAGATCCCCATGGAAAGGACTTCCAGAACTCACCAATGAGAATGGCCAGTACTGTCCTTTCAGCTGTGAAACACAAGCATGGTCTATGGCCACTGCTCTTGAGACCATCTATGATTTATAGTTGGCTCATAGATATGTAGAAAGTGTGTGAACACTTGATATGAATGCAATCTCATATGAAATAGAGGCTCAACTCATTTTAAAAATCTCACTCATAGCCAGGAGCTGGTGGTGCACGCCATTAATCCCAACATTTGGGAGGTAGAGGCAGGTAGATCTCTGTGAGTTCAAAGTCAGCCTGTTCTACAGAGCGAGATCCAGGACAGCCAGGGCTACACAGAGAAACCCTGTCTCGAAAAACCAAAAATCAAAACAAACGAACAAAAAATTAGTGACTTTTATTTTTCTCTTTTTGACTTTCTTAAAGAGTATCATGTGTGCCACCACACCCAGTGTTTGCAGTACTGGGACGACACCCAGGGCCTTATGCTGTTAGGCAAGCACTCTACCAGCTGAGCTACATCCCCTGCCTATTTTTTTTTAACATTGTTTTGATTTGAATCAAAGAAAAATGGTCTATAGAAGGTTACTGCTGTTGTGTTCAGAAAGAATTCTTCAAATCGGAGTGAAAAAAGAAATCGTGCATCATCTTCAATTTGTACGAGTGTGGAGTGGACAAACGGAGAAGTGCTCTTAAGTCCTGCTGTGTATGGGCACTCTCCATAGACTGTGTTTCACTAGTGGCTACCACTTGGTACGGCATTCTCAATGCCTTGCATAATGCAGTCAGTGCACATTAGTAATGCTTTATGAATGTAGAAGGATGGAAGGAATCTCCTGCAGTCTATGTTCATAAATGGAGCACAGAGCTTCAAAATGTGCTTTATTTTTCACTGGTAAGTTACGTTTTCAATAGAATGAATGCCAACTATAGTTAACATAGCATATTTACATTAAAGATTAATTGGATATATGAAACAGAGCATTAGGACATAAAACAGTGCTGTAAAATTAGTCATGACTCATTCCAATTTCCCATTATGAGATAGTGTACATTTTCAAAATGGAAATTACTGGGCATATTTATGACAATTTTACAGTGGAAAGAAAGCCTAGAGATGAAGCTTAGTGGCAGAGTGTGTACCTAGCATGTGTTAGAGCCCAGAATTCTATCCCCAAAGCCATCAAGAGAGAAGGGAGGGAAGTATGAAGGGGGAGGAGAGAGAGGAAGGATTTAAAATATAGCCATATTAGCTTATCTACAGTAGGGTCACGACCCACCTCAGAAAATGCTTCAGCGGGGTATAGTGCTCCTCTTGAGGATTATTAATGAAAGAACAGTGCTGTGTGTTGCATGGTCTATGGAAGTCTCAGAAGGCATCTTTGATATTATCCCAGCCACAGGAATTAAAGTGATGCTTTTAGACTGTAAAAGGGTAATTGCCATTTGACTAAAGAGCACTTAGGTAGAACACTTCATTCCTGCGGGATGCTGCAGAAAGGGTTGTTTCTATTTTACATTTCACAAATGGTCTGTGCCTTGGGTTTTCACTAATCCAAATCAATCTTACGTACTAAATGAAAAGTAAACTTACCCGTTTAACCAGTATACTGTGACATCTTAGTGAGTTTTCAGAGATGACTGAGGAGACATGAAGCCTATCATTTTGATGAGTGTTGTCACCTGTGGTAATATTACTACTGTGTCTTCAGCTGCTCTGTCTAGTGAGCAAATGTTTATATGTCTGTGTGTCAAAATAAAAGTCTTTTCTAAAGGACTCGATTTGCTTTCCTCTGTCATTTACCAGTTACTTTTCCCTGTGGTCAGTGAGTGATTGATAACCAGAGATGGGGATGCACGGGGATATTCAGGACGTGAGAGGAGCAGAGAAAGGTGTGGAAGTGTTTGGAGATGTATTAAAGTTGTCATGTCAAGATTAGGAGTGAAGTAAGCTTTTGATGTGTCCCTAAGTCTGTTAGCAGCTGTACTCCCGTGATAGATCTTAAATACAGTGAATTTTATCCACATTTTACCAACTCACAAATACAGTAGTAAATGGATGTGATGTGAACACTTCCCTTCTAAAAACAGCCAAAGACACTTTCACTTTCAGTTATATTACTGAGCAATATAAACACATAGGACAACATCTAATAACCAAAGCTGATCTGGCCTGGTTTTGCCTTGCTTAGTGTTGCTTCATTTTTCTAAATTACAGATTCTGTCTCTTATTTTTAGATGAAAGGTGTTAACCTAAGACTCTATAGTCCCTTAGAGTCCTAAATGGATCAGTCAGACTTGCTGCATTTGCTTACTTAAACCCTCCATGCACCAGTGTAGTGAATTCACAGAATCGGTGTTAAATTGGTACTGCCAGGAGCAGATGTATTATCAAAATGTTTTAAATGCCATATTCTATAAGTCTTTGAAGTATTTGAAGGCCATCTATCTAAAATATATCTATTTAACCTAGCATATCTATAAATTTGATTGTTATAAATGACTTAACTGTGTTTCTTGATTATCCTAGTTTATAATAATAGCTTTCAAAAACTAGAATTTCACCTTATACTTTTAAATGAATTACATAAGTATAGTACTTCAAACAAGAGTAGAAAAATATATGCAATATGTTGTAACAAAAATAACTTTAAATTTTGTCAATATACAAAAATCCTTTAAATAAGAATAGAAACATATATACAATACATTATAACAAAAATGACCTTAATTTTATGTAAATGTACAAAAGTCCTTTAAACAATAGAAACATATGTACAGCATATTGTAACAAAAATAACTTTAAATTTATATCAATATACAAATCCTTTAAACAAAATTAGAAATATATATACAGTGTGTTGTAACAAAAATCACCTTAAATCTGTATCAATATACCAAAATCCATGCCAATGCAAAATATCTGAGATTAATAGATTTTTATCTATTAATAGTCTTTTTATCCTATATTCCTGTATTCCCCTAAATTATAACAAATACCCATAACCCACTAAATAACCAAAAACCACCTACTCCCAAACTCTTGGAAATGTAGGCATAGTTTTCTCTAAACTACTTCCTGCTAACTGTAGATGAAGTATCTTTAGGGTCCCAGAGAGAAAATTTCAGATAATAGCCAAGTCCTGGGAAGACCAACAATAGTTTTTGTTGATAGATATCACCTGTCAAGATTCAGGAGGTCTTGTCTGATCAAACCTGATCCATATTAACCCTGAAGGAATCCACAGCCTCTCATCTCCCGTGGGAACAAAACTCCAAAGTATTTTTTATTTCCATTTGAAAAATACATTTTTTGACTTCTTTTTTAAAGTTAAGACAGCCCTAAAGTATCTAGGTTGGTTCAGTTTTGCAGTCCAGTTCACAAGCCCATGTCTGCCAGAAGCTGTCTCTTGCCCATCAGCCATCAAAAAATTAAAAATCAACACAATAACATACAGGATTCAGACTCCCTGTGTATTTCCCATCTTACGTGGCTTTTTCTTTTACTCTCTTTTATTTCATGAACTATTCATTTATTTCTATGACTATACCCTTTTTCTTTCTTAAGCCTACGCACATTGTAAAACACATGGGAACCTGTTCAGAGGTTTTTCTGTCTGGACCTTTTTGTACTACATACCTTTTAGCCTTTTTGACCGCATGAACAAACTTTAAACTCCTAAGCTGCGTGGACCTCTGCCTGCAGCTTTGGTGTCTGGCTCTGCCCACTTCTTGGGCCATGAAAGTCGAGCCCAAAGCTTGCAGTCCAGACAGAGGTTTGTCTGACCAGAAACCATTCATTCTTTCTAGAGTTCTAGAATGCTGATGCTTGCACTATGTCAGGCATTTTTACTTAGTTTTTTGTTCCTACTTTAAGGTACTAGCTGCTCAAGGGCTTGCTTTCGAAAATTATTATGGCCCAGCCTTAATAATCTTCCCAGGGGCCCAGAAGAGAAGCTATGAACAGCTTGAATGATCTGCGGGAAATGCATCTAAGTACACCAAGCTCTTAGTCCATCTACTTTATTCCTCTGGGATAAAATTCTATCTACACAACTTCAGTTCTGTTCTCATGCCTAGCTCCTTTCTTGCCTGATTTCTCTACATTTATCTGCTGTCCCCTCTAAGTTCTATCTTAATTCTCTCATCGTAGTTCTGCCCCATCTTGGTCTTTCTCATATCGTTCTTATCCATCTTGTTCTTCCCCATCTGGCTCTTCCTCATCTTCCATATCATTCTTCTAGGTCTCCAGTCAAAATCACCTCTGAGTCTGAGGTTTACAGTTACATACCCATGCAACAGCAGTGCTCTAGCAAAGCAAGGTCACCAGGCTTGAATTCTTACAGGGACATAAAGACAGACAAGAGTTTTCCTCAGGCAGTGACCATCAGGCTTTCTTTTACAACCCAAAAGGGGAGTGGTAAAGGAGGAGGTCAACTAAGAGCTAAAATCAATATGTCAGAAAAAGGGAATTTATGTGCTCAAACTACATTCCTAGAGGTAGTTAGGTAAATGTTAGGAGTCTATAATGTTAGTATAAATACCACTAAGGCTGTATAAGAAAGGAGGGTCTGAGTTTAATTTACCTTAATTCAGGAGATTGTTTGGCCTTGGATGCTTGATAGGTATTTCAGGTAAAATACACTGTTTGGAATTTACCTTAATTCAGGAGATTGTTTGGCCTTGGATGCTTGATAGGTATTTCAGGTAAAATACACTGTTAGGAGTTCTTGGAAGTATACATAGCATACAAGAAAATCATTGCAGGAATCGGCTAATATATATATTTACAAAAGCTAAAATATCACCAAGACTTCTTAAGCCATGGCTTGACCTTCAGATAAGTCCTTGATGTTTCCAAGTCGTAGCTTTTGTGATAGTATCTGAATTCCATTACATTTTCCTGTGGCTTGCAGCAGCTTGCCAGCAGGCAGAAACTCTTAAAGGAGCTGTATTTTTTTTTTTTTTAAGCTTTCTCAGGCACTATAGAAATTTGAGTGCCACGTTGGTATGCCAAAATGTTGTTGGTTGTTTTTTGCTCTTTGGCTCTTTTGGGGGGCCCGCCACCCAGCTCCCAAATAAATCACACATGGGGGCTTATTCTTACTTATAAATACCTGGCTTTAGCTTGGCTTGTTGCTTACCAGGTTTTCTTAACTTCAGTTAACCTGTCTTTTTCCTCTGGGCCTTTCCTGTTCTCTTCTGTAAATCTTACTCTTACTCTGTGGCTTGCTGTGTAGCTGGGTGGATGACGCCTAGAGTCCTCCTCCTTCTCTCTCTCCTTCCTCTCCTTCCCAGATTTCTCCTTCTACCAATCTTTTCTGCCTGCCAGCCCTGCCTATTTCTCTCTCCTGCCTTGCTATTGGCCATTCAGTTCTTTATTAGACCCTCAAGTGTTTAATACATGCACAGTATCACAGTTTCACAGAGTTAAACAAATGCAACGTAAGCAGAAGTAACACACCTTAAAATGATAGTCTACAACAGTGGGTGTCTAACTCACAGAGCCTTTACATTTTCTTTCATCAGGTCCCATGTGATCCCGTCTATCCCTTGCAAGTTTAGAGTCTCAGTAAGTCAGCAAGTTTGCCCTGTTTCCTCTTGGGCCTGTGTGTACCCTGAAGCCACATCACATACGGCTGCCTCAGGTACGGTGTTCAGTCTTCCCCCAAATTACCATATTCCAGAATCATGAGTTGACTGTGATTTGTGGTGATCTCTTTTACAGACATTCAATTTTTCTTTAATCGTATCATCTACTTCTAGATTCTGCTTGTTAGAGCCACCTACCTACAGATTCATCTGTTTAACTGTTCTTGTTAAACACTCCCAACCTCTGCCCTACTCCCACCCCATTCTGGTGACTGAACCCTGGGCCTTGGGCTTGCTGGGAAAGTGCTCTACGGCTGAACTAAATCCTCAACCCCTAAGTTTTTGTTTGTTTCTTTGTTTTAATATTTGCTAACACCCTTTCCCACCACCTTCTCTCACCCATTTCCTACTGTTTTCAAAACCTTGTCCCATACTTGCAGCTCTTTATTTTTCGTAAGTGATTTTCTGAGTCCCAAAATTATTAGCATTTTTAACAAAATTGTGTGTACATTGTAAACATTTGATAAGCACTTACATTTACAATAGTCTCATAACCTAAGGACTAGACTATGCTCCTTTTCTCCTTAACTTCCTGGTTCTTCCTAATGTTTAAGTTAAAGATTTCTGCGGTCAGTTTTGGTTTGTTTTAATGTTAAGCAGGTTGATCAGAAAAAGAAATTAAGATTCAACAAACATATATAAAGTTCCATGCAACTGGCTGTTTGTATTACAGGTATTACACATACTTTCTAAATGAGAAAACTACCCTAAATCACACAACTAATGAATTATTGGGACAAAATTCAGTCCCTGATCTTCAAACCAGTACTCTTTCATAGATCCTTAAGATTGCAACATGGTATGCGTGCCTTCAGGCTTCCCCCACCCTGTGCTCATGGGTCCAGATGTGGCTGTCATCAGCTGACCCTGATCATGGGAAGCATTAGATCCGGTTCTGATGGAGTCTGGATACACACCCTTACTATCATCTGGTCAAAATATCTCTAACCTGTGTTCCTGGCTAAATGTTGAGAATGACATTGCCAAGTACAGGTAAGTTAACACCACTGGGAAAACTTTGCTAACAGAAGCATCATATCAAAGATGACAGAAAAGGCAGAGGCTAAGAGGTATCGCAGAGCTCAGAGTTGGCACTAGGGAATTTTGGCCAGGAGTTAGACCTCA